GTGGTCGTCGTCGCCCTCGTGGAGATTCAGCTGCATGCATTGCGCACTACTTTCTGTCCCACCCGACCCGATCCGCCCGCCCCTTGGACTCTACCCGCCCGATTCGCCCGACCCGTCCGTTATGATCCGCCCGCCCGACCCGCCCGATCCGACCCGTCCGTTTGGGTCCGCCCGCCCGACACGCCTGTTAGGGTCATCGTCGCCCACGCCTGTTAGGGTCATCGTCGCCGTCGTCGACCTCATCGTCGTCGCTATTGTCGTCCTCGTCTGCGTTGTCGTCCTCGTCGGCGTCGCAGTCTTCGCCCTCGTGGACATTGTCGTCGTCGTCGTCGTTTCTGTCGTCTTTGTCGCTCTCGTCATTGCCGTCGTGGTTGTCGTGGCCGTCGTCGTCGTCGTCGTCGTCGTCGTCGTTGTCGCCCTCGTTGATGTTCAGCTACATGGATTGCGCACTGGCTCTGATGTCCCGCTCGGCCTGATCCGCCCGCCCGTGAGGGCCCGCCCGCCCGACCCGCCCGACCTGCCTGTTAGAGTCTGCCCGTCCGATCCGCCCCTTAGGGTCCGCCTGCCCGACACGCCCGTCAGGGTCGTCATTGCCGTCGTCGACCTCATCGTCGGCCTCGTCGTCGCCCTTGTCGTTGTCGTCCTCGTTCGCGTTGCAGTCCTTGCCCTCTTAGTCGCCGCCGTCGTCCTCGTAGTCGCCGCCGTCGTCGTCGAAGTAGTCGTCGTCGTCGTCGTCGTCGTCGTCGTCGTCGTCGTGGTCGTCGTCCTCGTCCTCGTCCTCGTCCCCGTCCTCGTCTTTGTCGTCGTCGTCGTCGCCGTCCTCGTCTTTGTCGTCGTCGTCGTCGCCGTCGTCGTTGTCGTCGTCGTCGTCGTCATCGTCGTCGTCGTTCTTGTTGTCATCGTTGTCCTCGTCATCGCCATCGCGGATGTCGTTGCCACTGTCGTCGTCGTCGTCGCCCTCATGGTCCGCGTCGCTGGATGGACTGCACGCTACTTTAATGCCCCGCCCTGCCCGACCCTTCCATTCGGATCCGCCCGCATGACACGCCCGTTAGGTTCGTCGACGTCGTCGTCGACGTCGTCGTCGACGTCGTCGTCGTACCCGTGGGCGTCACAATCGTCGCCCTCGTCGCCGTCCTCGTCGTCTTCGCTGCCTTCGTCCTCCTCGTCGTTGTTTTCGTCGTCATCTTCGGTCTTGTCGTCGTCGTCGACGTCGTCCTCGTTGTCGTCGTTCTTGTCGTCCTCGTCACCCTCGTCATCACCGTCGTGGATGTCGCCATCGTCGTTGTCATCGCTCTTGTGGTCGTCGTTGCCCGCGTGGGTGTTCAGCTGGATTAGATGATGGGTTGCACGCTATTTTACTGTCTCGCCCGACCGGGCCCGCCCACCCGTCCGTTAAGGTCCGACAACCCGACCCGCCCGTTACGGTCCGCCCGCCCGATCCGTCTATTAGGGTCCGCCCGCCCGACCCGCAGGGCCCGCCCACCTCGCACGCCCGTCAGGATCGTCGTCGCCGTCGTCACTCTCATCTTCGTCGACTGCGTCGTTGTCGTTGGCGTCTTCGTCGGCGTTGCAGTCGTCGCCCTCGCTGTTGTCGTCCCCATCGGCGTTGCAATCGCCGCCCTTGTCGCCGTCGCGTGATGCTGATTTCGATTCAACGAACGGCCATGCGTTGCGCCTGCGAGGTTTCGCCTGATGTTGTTTTACTTGATTTTGTTTCGTCCTCTAGGGTTTGAACCGATGGGGATTCGCACATGTTGTTTCGCTCGTGTTTGTTTCGTCTGCTTTTGTTGTGCCCGATTTGGTTTCGATGCTTTTCGGTTCGCCCGCTGGTGTTTCATGTGCTTTTGTTTCGTCCGCTTGGGTTTCAACTGGTGCGTTTCGCCCGTGTTGAGTCGCACGCTTGTGTGTTCGCTTGTTTTTCCCAGCCATTCTGTGGTGTTGGGTCCTCGTTTGAGGAGACAGCGACCCGCGTTCCTCCTCCTCCTCCTCGCCCCTCCTCCCCATCCTCCCATCCCTGCCTCTGACCTCCGCACCCACTGCAGGAGCGTTTCGTGGCCCCATAGGGAGCTCCACCGAAGGCCTCAGCGGCTGTGGCCACATGCGTTCGCGCCACCCAGCACAGCGCTCCGTGGCCCCATAGGGAGCTCCACCGAAGGCGTTCGCGGCCCCATCGGGAGCTCCACAGAAGGCCCCAGCGGTTGTGACCACACGCGCCCACGCACGAGAATACAGCGTTTCGTGGCCCAATACAGGGCTGCACCGAAGGCCCCAGTGGATGTGACCACATGCGTTGGCGCACGAGAATGCAGCGTTTCGTGACCCGATAGGGAGCTCCATCGAAAGCCCCAGTGGATGTGACCACATGCGCTGGCGCACGAGAATACAGCGTTTCGTGACCCGATAGGGAGCTCCATCGAAAGCCCCAATGGCTATGACCACATGCGTTCGCGAACGAGAATGCAGCGTTTCGTGGTCCGATAGTGAGCTCCATCGAATGCTCCAGTGGCTGTGACCACCCGCGGCTGCGCCCCCAGTCGCTCCCCGGCGTTCCCAGGCTCTCCCAAACGCACCCAGGCGCTTCCAGACGCCCCCAAGCGCTCCCAGGCGCTCCCAGGCACTTCAACCGCTCCGAGGCGCTTCTCAGGCCCCCCGGTTCCCCCAGGCCTCCCAAGCGCTCCCAAATGCCAGGCGCTCCCAAGCGTTCCCTGGCGTTCTCCAGGCGCTCTCCAGTCGCTCTCACAAGCGCTCGCAGGCGCTCCTGAGCGCTCCCGTGTGCTCCCATGTGCTCCCAAGCGCTCCCAGGCGCTCCCAGCTTCTCAGGCGCTCCCAGGCGCTCCCAGACGCTTCCAAGCCTTTGCCGGCGCTCCCAGGCGTGCCGACCCTTCCCAGGCGCTCCCAAGCTCTCCCAGGCGCTCCGAGGCGCCACCAAACGCTCCTGGGCGCTCCCAAGCGCTCGCCGGCGCTCCCAGGCGCTCCCAGGTGCTCGCAGGCGGTCTCCAGGCGCTCCCACGCGGTCCAAGCGCTCTCAGTGATATCCCACGCGCTTCCCTGGCGCTCCCAGGCGCTCCTGGCAGTCCCAGGCGATCCCAAACGCTCCTAGGCGCTCCCAAGCCAGGCGTTCCCAGTCGTTCCCAGACGCTCTCCAGGCGCTCTCCAGGCGCTCCAACAAGCGCTCCCAGGCGCTCCATCGAAGGCCGCAGTGGCTGTGATCACATGCGCCTCCCCTGACCCATTTTGGCACGGCACTCGCGCGTTTCGTGGCCTGCCCCTAGGGAGCTCCACCCAAGGCCTCGCGGCGGTGTCCACATGCTCCCCTCGCTCATGTCGGCATACCCCGCACACGTCCCGTGGCCCCATAAGAAGTTTCCCCTCCTTCGTCCCGCCTGCCTTGAGGTACTGACAATTGCATATGGTCGGGTCCTTCGCCAGGATAACTGTTTAATGCTCTTGTGATTCACCCTTATTGGTTTCCCCCTTTTATTTTGTCGGCTTTTATTACATCTGCTTATCGCCCACGGGGCTTCGCGTGCTGTTGCTTCGCCCGCTTTTGTTTTATCCGCTGTCAATTCGTCTGCCTGTGTTTCGCCTGCTTTTGTCTCATCCGCTCTTGTTTCGTCCGCTTCGGATTCGCCCAGGCGACTGACATCCAGGTGAACCGAGAAGCCGGGCGCGGCGAATTCAATTTTGGCGAAACAATTGAGCGAGTCGAAGATTGGCGAATCGACATTGAACTTTATATGAATTCGAACCATGGCGAATTAACATTGGAATCAAAACGGGTAAATCGAATGGGTTGAATCAGATCGGATGAATCAACATCAGTGTCATTGGGTCAGGGTGAAACAAAGCAGAATCGCAGGCGCCCCCTTGGGGGCAGCCCGTCATTTCAATATCATCCCGTAAACTTGCTGTGGCATTGCACTGGCCGCCACGAAGAGGGCGGGTCGGAGTGAGGAAGCGAGATGCCCGGTAAAGCGGCGTTCGAACTTTCATTTGCCTCGAAGTGCAAAGGGAGCCCGTGAGAAGTAGTGACGCAACACTTCTTTCGCCGCCTCTGGTTTCACGCTTGCACAGGAGGGCGCTGCAAGTGACAAGCTGAGGGTGTCCAAGCATGCCTCATCAGTTTGCGTTGCCGTGGTGAGGGTGTTCCCTCCCGCCCCATCCCGTCGGGTCGCCAGGACTTGTTTGTTTCAGTGATCGAGCCATCGCGGCACTGGGGGGCTCGTCAGGAGCTCGAGGAACAAGGTTACGGTCGCGCGATGCATGACGCTACCAGCATGCTGTTGCTCACCTTCCAGACTCTCTCAAGTCTCCCGCGGGTCTTTTCCTCGAGCACCTCGCTAGACGTCTCCGACAGGTGGGTAAAGCAAGACCACGGAGTATAGTCCCACAGGGGGGGACGGGGAGCCCGAGACCGCCGTGTCCGGCAGCGGTCTGCCAGGTCCGGCAGCGGTCCGGCAGCGGTCCAGCAGGCTAGCGGTCCGCCGGGTCCGGCCGGGTCCAGGGACGGCTGCCGGGATCTCCGGCAAGGAACACATTCATGTGCACATGCCGTGCTCTCCGTGTTTTTCCTGCTCTTCGTGTTGCCAGAGTTTCACTCCCGCGTGCGATTCTTGCACACAAAAGAGCACGCCCTACCGCACCTCCGGCTCTTCGTGTTGCCAGAGCTCCACTTCCGCGTACGGTTCTGACGAAAAGTAAGCATCCTACCGCACGTCGTGCGCTTCCTAGCAATCAATAGGAAAACATGGGAACGTACGTTTTCACAAGCCGACCTCCTACTCCTCGACCCGGCCCTTCACCTTGGCTGCTATGAGGGTGCTGTGCTGGGATCATTTTGATATGTTGCGGTCCTGGTGGCCCGTGAACGGTCCCGAAGTGCCCGTCAAACGGGGAAAAACCTGCAGGGCCCCTTGCCTCCAGGACCCGCTTCCTTCATGCCAACCTCCCTCCTGCTCTCCCTGTGCCCCCCCCCTCATCCGGTTCCTTCCCGCCAGAAATCCTGGCCTGCGACACCACGGCCGGCACGGGGCCGGTCGCCAGCTGGCGGTCTCTGAGGACGGACCAGGGCGACGGCTTCTGCACACGGGCGCCCCGCGCCCCGCGCCCCCTGTTGCCAACCACCCGCTTTTGCGGCTCTCTGGTCTCCCTTTGCTCTGCCCAGCGTTCCTTCTCACCTCCTCCCCCGCCGCAATCGAACTAGCTGGCGTGCCATTCCTTTACCCTCGCTCCCGTTACGACGCTTGCTGGCATAACTGCCAGGCTGTCCGCCTTTGTTCCCTCAGCTTTTCCCCTCCCTCTCCAAAGGTGCGCTGGCAGATGATAACTCAGCATACGTATAAACTCTCGGAGGTCCGCGTGTCCGCGTGGGTTTCTTGGGGCCTCGCCAGACGCCCCCTCGCCGCTCGCCGCCTCCTGGTCCAATTCCCCTCACACTGTTCGCAGCCTTGCCTCGCCTAGCTTTGCCTCCCTCATCTCCGCAGATGGTAATCCTCTTTGTCCCCTGCTTTTTTTTTTTGTTCTCTCTCTCTCTCTGTCTCTCTGTCTGTATGTCTGTCTCTCTCTCTCTCTCTGATTCTCTCTCTCTCTCTCCCTCTCTGTCGCACCCCTGTCTCACCCTTCCCTTAACTTCGTTTCCTTCTGCCTCCCCGCCCCAATCCTTTCCCACTCAGTGATCTGTGTTACGTGCTTCAGGTTGCCTCGACGAAGTGTCAAAGTCGAAACTGTAGGAAAGCACGTTCCGAAGGTGATTCCAGGCTTTGGCTCCATGTTGAAACACGTATCCGACGCAGTTTGGGCACCCGACCCGAGAACCTGTCGTAGGCGTTGCCGATTCGAACTTGTATATTCAAGGCAGTCGCAGTGCGTCACAATCGGCTGGTCGATGTTGGTGTCGGTGTTCCTTGTGGCAGCTTATCTCTCAAGCTATACGTCCTGTGCGCGTGAGGATGGGTCAAACTATGTCTCTTCACACCTCCACCTTACCATCCGTGCTTCTTCCTTTTCAAGCCTGCTTTGACCGATCGGCCCAGCCATTTTGGCTCACGACTATTCGTGGTGCCAATTCTCTTTCTTGTGGCGTGAACCTGGGCCGCATACCGTCTTTGCACCATCTTGGCGTCTCACGCTTTGGGCGCCTCGTGGAGTTGCTTGCTCAGCAAGCCTGGCGGTTTTGGGTGTTGGGTGCTCGGAGGGCGCCCGCGGCGTGCTCCAACCGTCGCCAAGTGGCCACGCGGGGGGTTGGAAACTCCGCGCGGCCGCCGAGCCACTCCCGCTCGGGCAAGTGCGTTCTACGCCATGGGCGTTTCGCCGCGGGACCTCGCGCATCGCGGCGTCGGGCATTTTTGCCACGAGTCGGCGCGTGAGGCGACATTGCGCGCTTTCGGGCGTGGCTTATCGACGGCGCGGGCGCCGCCGTGGCCCAAGGATAGCGAACGGAATCAGGGAAACATCCACAACCCAACGAGCGCGCCCAACACAGTTCCGAAGGGTACCACGTCTCTTCGGAGGGGCGCCGCGATGACGCCAAATACCTTCGAACACAAAGCAGGTTTCCATCGGTTGCGCAGCCTCAGAATCTTCCCAAACGGCCGCGGGACTGGGCGTTTTGAATTCGTCCGAAGAGCGTCTTAGCGTCACATTCCAGCAACATCTTGATGATAACGGTACATGTTTCGTGATGTGCTGCGCTTTGTCGTTCTTGTGTGTTATTATTGCCGTGATGTCCACGGCCCACAAAATTAATTTCGTCCGCGACGGCCACATGACCGTGCGTCGGACGCAGTGCTGCATATAGCTAGAAGGGACTAGGTCTTGCAGAACAGCACCTGCGCCAGAAGAGACAGCGGGGGGCGCAATACCACCTGCGCAATGTCGATGGCGCTCGGCGGACACATCTATTCCGCATTTGCTCGGAGCAGCGACCTGGTTGGCGCCGTCGAGCAATTGCACGGTGGAGAGGTGCGCCACTGGCATTCAAAACTTTTTGTCGTTAAGGAGCCTAAGGTGGGAGGCGGATGGGACTGGCATTCGGATTATGGTTACTGGTGGCTTCACCCATTTGAGCTTCTACTCTTTGTTGCCGCTGTGGGCTGAATGACCATACTAAAGCAAACGGTTGTCTGAAGCTACTCAATGGCTCGCACCGCTTCGGTCGCATTCGGCTCACACCTTCCAGGCCTTCCGGGGAGGAGGAAGGATCCGAGTCCCACATGGTTGAGGCTGCAAAGGTTAAGTGGGCGGAAGTCGACGCTGAATTGCGGCGCGGAGATGTGTTCTTTTCCGCTCCAATTCGTTATCCCAGTCGAGGCCTGACCTCGCTACGATGCCAAGGTGGACGTTGTTCGTATTTGCCCTCGGATCAGCTCCTCACCCAGCACCCGCCCGTCACCGTGAATGGCCACCCTCGCTCGGTTCACGGTCATCTTGATCATGTGCCGCTGCCATTGCTGCTGGTGCCCCATGAACATATTTTCCACAGCGATGGCCACGCGAACGGAGTTTGACATCTTGGAGCATGTACGGAAATTTCATATTGTAAAGTTTTAAGGGCGCCGTCTCGCGTTTTTTGTCTGTTCATATTTGTCAGGCATAGTCTGGCTATTGCTAACGCCATTGCGATTTGTATTGAATTTTGCGGTCGCGTGGCTAGCTCGCAGGGTTGGTGACCGGGTTGATTCGTCTTCATTCTGACGGGATTGATGGAGCGGGGATTTTTGTGAGTTTTCGTTTTTTGTGTGCGTGTGTGGGCGGGAGGAATGGGTGGAACAAATTGGGTCGGGATTGGGGGATACATTGGGATAGAGCCGTGGGATGTAGGTGGATTTCACACGTGAAGAAAACGAACAGAGATATCAATTGAGTCAGAACACGCGGTTTCTGGCGTCGTCGAATACGACCAAGAGGAACTCATTGCCACAAGCGCTTGCAACTGTTAGCGATCTTTCTTGTTCCTGTACCGTCTTCGCATGCATTATGGCTGATCATTGCTTGCATGTCATGCAAATTCAAAGGTGTGTTTTTTGGGGGGGCGAGGGTTTGCATGCTTGCCGTTTGTTAGTTTCGGGGCACGCCACATGGGGTAGGGCATGATTATCGTCATTTGTTGCTAGGTTGACCATTATTGTTGAGACATGGTGCCGATTCCTGTCATGAAAGATGTTTTTTTTTCTGTTTTGTTTCAGAATTTGCTTTAGTTTCTCTGTCAGTTAATATGGCTCCGCCCTTGTCGTACGTTGCCGCTGGTCATTGCTGCGTTGACCGCCTCTGTTCGAGCTGCGAGATGCGAACAGGAGCGCGTGCCCTCCCCTCCTCTCGAGTCGAGCGCGCAGTTACACACATACACCAATCGTAGCTTCCGCTTAGCGGGCTCCACTGTTGTGCCATGTCGTCCATGAGCGCCCAAACCAGTGAGATAGTATACCAAGGAGCGATAGTACAGCAAAACCATATAGCAACCATTATGTCAGAATCATCTGATCCTCCCCGGCAAATTCCTGGCCCCATCCAGAACAGATGCCCAGGCGAGTTGCCTTAATCTGGAAAGCGGAGGAGCATGCGGTGGATGAAGGGCTGGGGAAGCCGTGAAACTGAACTCTTGGATCAACCAGCGCAGTATGCGCCTTCGCGGACCTCTTGGCGGCCTCCTGGGCGCCTCTTGGGGCCGGCCAGGCGCCTCTCGGGGCCCTGCTGGGGCGCCCTTGGGAGCTTTAGGGGCCGCTCTTGGGGCCATTTTGGAGGATACCGATCAAAGAGGACGGGGAGGGTTAATGAGGGTCGCCATCGGGAGCCCCAAAGATCGCCTCTTGAACCGCCCTTGGGCGTTCTCGGGGCCGTCTTGGAGTTCTCTTGGGCTTCTCTTGTGGCCCTCATTTGGCTATCTTAGAACCACCTTGAAGCCTCGGATGGCCATCGGAAGCGAACATGCGAGAAAGCAGACAACATCGATTTTTCTCTGGCGCTTGAAAGATGTTGGCCTCTTGGCGGCCTCGTGGGAAGGCTCCGTGGCAACTTGGAGCCGTCTTAGAGCGGTCTCGGGGCTTCTAGGAGCATTTTGGGAACCATATTGAGCCATCCCGGGTTATCATGGGCCATCTTTGAGGTCATCTTGGGCTCTCTTAGTCCCTCTCGGAGCCATCTTCGGCCATCTTGGACGCTTTGACCGCTCGCGGCCCCACCCCTCCAGGTCCTGGGGAGGGGGTGGGGGGGGATGGATAAGCCCCTTCCCCGAAAGGGAAGACGGGGGTTGGAAGAGGAGCCGCCCTAGACCACCTACGCCTAGGGCTGGTTGGATTGTTGGATATCAGCCGAACGTCTCGCCAGAACTCGATGTCGGCGCGGGGGCTCAGCGTCCACGCGACGTTGTCGTCTTGAGACCAGCCTTCTCCGGCGTTCGGCCCTGGCAGTCGGAAAAGAATCAACGTCGCATCAAAATAGGGGGATTTGCAGGTGCGTGTTGGCTTTGTTGCCATGTCCGAGTGCGAATCCGGTGGCTTGGCCCCGACGGCCGTGGAGGTCAGGAAGGGCCTCTCGAGCGAGGTGTTCCACGAACGCCTAAGAGCAGGGGTCAGGTGGCTCACACCCCTGGGCCGTGGTTGGCATCCGTTCAAGTAAAAACGGGGCACCCAGCGGATGGCCACTAATGCATCAGCCGGGAGGCCCGCGATGTCACGAAAAGGGGGCAGGCGCTTCCTCCTTTTTCCGAAGGTCAACAAGCCAACAAGCCAGGCTCTAGGTTGACGCAGACGCTTCAACTGTCTGTGCTCATCGCACTGAGCCCTTTGATGTTTTGGCGATGTTGATGCGATCGGAAGCGGGGGCGTCGTTCGTGACAGCGTCGACCTGCCCCGTGCGGTTGGTTCTGGCAGGTCCTGAAGAAGATAGCCAACCACACGCCGAAACGCTAGAAACGGACATGACCAGGGGTGCCTGAGAAAATGAGCATTTTCAGTATTAGACTATCGGGTGCGCGAGAAGGGCTTCAACGCAGGCGCACATTATGCCTTGAATCTTCCCGTGATGTGGATATGCTTGGCCAATATTTCGATCGAAGACGCATGCGGCGAATCACCGCCGCCCCATGCCTTTAGGATGCGCCCATGTGGCCGAACGTTGCAGCCAGAGTTCGGCCAAACTATCGGAAGATGTGTTCCCCCAGCCATTGTGGAAACCCTTCGGGTGACACGTGTGGGGGGAAGAGGAGGGTGTGCGCACTCATTCGAAGCGCTGTTCATACCAAGGCCCATTCGCGCCCAACCCTTTCACACCAACAAGAGTCAGATACCCACTCAAGCACAGACCCCCTCAGACTCGGTCTTGTCGAACGCGAACTTGACGAATCCAGGCATGTGGTAATGTAATCATCCTCGGATCGTTGAGATGTGGTGTTGGTACCTTTGGGTCGTCTTCGTAGCGTGTTTGGTCCACGGATGCATTGAGAAACCATCGTTGGAACCATCTCTTGGCCTTCGAATATCGGGACACCTGGAGGCATCTTGTGGTCATGATGAGGACTTGGTGTCACCTGCAAGTATTATTAGGGTCACGGGTTCGTTTTCGGGTCAGTTGGTGTTCATGGACAACTCTGGGAGGGGCCACGAGGGCGCCCGGCTGAGCTTTCCTTCCCAAATGTGTATTCGGCGGGGGGGGAGGGGTAGAGCCATTCATAGGCATAGTCACTCACCCGCAGACCCACGCACACTGAGAGTCAGCGTATTCAGACCTGTTCATTGTTAGATTTACTCTCATTCAGGTGGTCATTCGAACAAACACGAACACAGGCTTGCCCACAGTCAGACCCAGTCATACTCAGCAGATTCACTCGTATTTGCTTGCTCGACTCAGCCGTACTCACACCCGCTCACATTCAGACTCAATCGTTTTCTTTTCGTCAGTCTCAGACACATGCACGCAGACCCACTCACATTGTGGTCTATTCGTTCGCAGGCTTGCCTATGCTGAGCCGTACATCCGTGCTTGCTCAGCCACCTTTTCTAAGCTCACATTCTGGCTCGCACTCGGTACTTGTATTCAGAACCTGTCAGCCCCAGGCCAATTCACATCCATATCCGCTTTTTCTTCGACGCTCGTATTCATAATCGCTCACAAGTGCGTAGGCCTACACGAACTTGCTCTCTCACATTGAGATCCACTCAGACGCTCATGCATGTAGTGTTGCACGTAGTCGCCCATCTGCACGGACTGAGTACCACGTGCGCGTACTCGTTTCACATGCCGTTCTATGCATTCCTACGTTGAGGGTAGTACTGTCGTAGGTCGTAGAAGTGTCCTTGGCGCCCATTCCGCCGCTGTGCCTGGGTTGTGGGCATGAGGTGCACTGAGTACCTGGCCGAGCGCACCACTGCTTCCTACGGGTGCCTCCTGGGATCCTCTCAGGGGCTCATTTTGTGCCTCCTGGGGGCTTCCTGGGCGCCTCCTGGGGGCCTCTTCGGAGGCCGCCTGCCGAGGTCCCCGAAGATCGATCCCCCGGGGCGGTGGTTGTTGACACATCCACGCCTCGCTCATGAGCCCGATGCGTGTTGCTGCTGCCGCCAGGTGGTGTTCCTGGGAGCGCTGTTCCTCCCGCACCTCCCCACGCAGTGGGTCGCCGACGGCCTCTTCGTGGCGCTGGTCAGCGAGGCCGAAGAGTTCGTGGAGCCCGCCGCACCGCGGCGCTGAGGAAGGTGCTGGCGGCAGTGATGATGCTGGTGTTGACGCTGATGATGGCGATGGTAGGCGAAGAAATGCGAGATTGGAATAACGCAAATCTAGATATATGCTGAAACCATCTCTCCCAGATTTCAGCGATATGATCCTGATTGCCTGGTCCTTTGTGGCGAGGCTCAGGCTTGCTTCGCTGATCGCCGATCTTTTCGCCTCGTGTTTTGCTCGGGTCTTCGCAAGCATTCCCGCGTGAAGTAGGTCCCCGCGTCCGTAAAGCCGCATTCAAGAAAACTATCACCTCCACCTTCTTTCTCAGTTTCTCTCAAGGGTACTCAGCATCGTCCCCCCTCGTTCCTCCCCTTGTCTATTCCTCCCTCTCCCGTTGTCCTGTCCGCGCCGTTGCTCCCCCTCCTTCCCTCGCGGTCACCCCGTTCCGCCTCCTGATCATAAATCAGGGTGATTGTCCCCCTCCCTCCATGCATCCCACTCACCGCCGCCCTCTGTTGCCTCTCGCTGTGCTTCTCTGGAGGCTTCTGGGGGTCTCCAGAGGCTTCGTGTCTGCAGAATTCACAACGCGCGGAAGTCGCATAGCCTGTCGCAGAAGTGGTCGCCAGCCCCCTCGGGCGCCTTCCCGGCGCGCGGCTTGGCCGCCAGCGTAGCGACAAAAGTGGAGGTGGTCTTGGTCAAGCAGGTCTTGCGGCAGCTGAGCTGCGCGGCCACGTGGAGACGGCCTGGCAGAAAAGCCTTCGGGATGGTTTCCCGAGCAAGCGCTTCACTGCAGGTTCTTGCGGTCGACTTGGAGCCCCTGCTGGAAAGCCGTCCACACTGCCCAGGGAGCTGCGCAGGCACACCGTCGCACCGAGGGACGCGCGTCGCGGCGCGACGAACTCGGGGGCGGCCGCGGACAGGCACCACTTCGGCATTCTGGTTGTGGCCCCCGTCGTTTATTTTCTGGGCGCGAAGGGGCTCGCATTCAGAGGTGCCACAAATTCGGTATCGTGTAACCAATCCCCATCCCCATCCCCATCCCCATCCTCTTCGAGACCCCCACCAAATGACGTCTCCAGTTGGGGATACACCCCTCGAAACCCGAAGGGAACGGCCTATATCCCCATCTAGGGGGGTAAATCGGCCAGTGGGGCCCAGGCCAAGCCGCTGTGGATGGGGGTCGGATAAACGATGCTCGCAAGTGCCCTTGAGTGTCGAGCGCCCTCCCGAGATCCCACCCAGGGGCCGCTCAGGAAAATTGTCTGGGTTTTTCAGTGCATGGGGGTTTTGGTACATAGGTTGCGTTGGGAGTCTTGTCACCAACCGAAGAGGAGCAAGTTAGGAAGAGTACTCACTGTGGGCCTGTCAGTGGCTGAAACCCTGGGCGTGATCATGGGTTCGCAGGGATTTGTTCTGCTCCCTTGGCCAGGATTCTGGGAGCGGTGCCGCGCTTTGCCGCGCAGGTAGCGCCGGCGTCGCATTTCGAACGCGAAGATAGCGGCACCGTGGAAGCTGTGGCCCGCGAGCCGGGAGACTGCCACGAAGCATGTCTGAAATGGAAACGCGGCGCGGCTGGGAAAAAGGGCAAAGGATGACGGGGGCAACGGCCAGAGGCTTGAGCTCCGAATGGGCCTTATGTGGCCACCCCCAACTTTCTCGCGCCGCGACACGCGTCCATATCTGCGACGGCGTGTTCGCGCAGCTCCCTGGGCAGTTTGGACGGCTTTCCAGCCGTCCCGCAGGCTTTTTTGCAAGGCCGTCTTCACGAGGCCGCGCAGTTTTACATTGCCTGCTGGCAGAAGGAATCCCGTGGCCGAGCCTGAGAGCTACATCCACTTTGGTCGCCGCGCTGGCGGCCAAACCGTCTGCTGGGCCAGCGCCCGAAAAAGGATGACAACCACTCCTGTTCTATAGGGGCCCTGGGGCCTTGCGAGTTGTGCACAGGAGGCCTCTGATTTCTCCCGGCGGCCTCCAGAGGAATCGAGCGGGAGGCCAAAGAGAACGGCGGGGGGGCGACGCAGGGAGGAACGCTGGCAATCACCTGGATTAGGATCGAAAGGGGGACGGGGTGACCGCGAGGGAAGATGAGCGAGCCGCGGCGCGAGTAGAGCAGGGGGGGAGGTCAGGAGTGGCGGGGGAGGAAACGCCCTGTTCAGATACAGATGCATCCCATGATCTCGCGACCCCGTTGCGACCCCATGATCTCGCGACCCCGTTGATGTATTCAACGTTCCATAACCACCAGATCATCGAAAAGATTTGGTTGTGCATTCCCCAGAGGATTGACCGATGGTGATGCTGGTGGTGGTGATGATGACGGACAGGATGATTGTATCGTTGATGGTGGTGATAATGATGGCGGTGGCGACGACGACGATTATGAAGATGCTGAGGATGCGGGTGGTGATGCTGATGACTATAACGATGCCGACGATGAGGATGATGTTGAGGACAATGATGGCAGTGGCGATGTTGATGTTACTGGCGATAATGCTGACGATGATGACGATTCTGATGATGATGATGATGATGATGATGGCGGTGGTGATGATGATGCTGCTGATAATGATGCTGCTGATGATGATTAGGATGAGGGGGATGTTTCTTATTACGCTGATGACGGTGACGGTGCTGATGACACTTGTGACAGATGATGACAGGGGCGATGCTGTTGCTCGTGTTGGTGATGGTGATCAGGGTGATGGTGATGGCGATGGTGATGATGGTGATGACGGTCATGGGTGGTGATTATGGCGATGATGGTTGATGAGGGTGACGATTCAGATGGTGATATGATGGATGGTGATGGTGATGCCGATCGTTATGACGATGATCATTTATGATTATGATGATGCTGATGTTGTTGATACCTATGATCATGAATCTGATGACGAAGTAGGCGATTCTATTCACGACGGTGATGTTTATGAAGATGGCGATGGTGATGATAATTCATAGGTCATGACAGTGGTAATGCTGATGGCGATAATGCCGATGATGATGGCACTCAATCGGGCGGCAACGATGATGTTTTCGACGACGACGACTACGACAATGACGACGATGATGACGATGATGAAGAAGATGATGATGGTGATGAAGATGGTGTTGGTGGTGGTGATGTTGATTCTGATGATGAGGCGGGGGAGGAGCAGGTTGACTACGATGTATAATCAGATCGCGGTCACGACGCTCTCGGTCTAGTTGTGTTACCGTTTTTGTCAAAGTGGCGGGTCCTTTCGGGCCCAGCCCTGACGCAAAGCCGCCCGGCGGGGTGGTACCTTACAGCGCGCTTGGGCCTATGGTGTCAGTGGCGACGAGACGGGGGGATATCGCTACGATCGAAACTGGTGCGCAAAGAACGGGGACACTGATGGCCAGCAGTTCCTATCCGTATTGAGCAGGACTCGGTTTCGGTGTCGCCGTGGGCGTTGTCCATTTGGGGCACACAGTCGCCTGCCCAACAGCGGCCGCTGCCGGTTTTGGACGTTATTCGCTGTTGGACATCGTGCTTTTTTTCTCCGTATGCATTTCGGGCGTGCGAAGGCGTCAGCGACAACGAGTGTAAGGGGGTGAGTGTAGGGGGGAGTAGGTTCAGGGGGGGATCTTCGACCGCCAATCGCCCATCCTTCGCCGATCGGGTTTTGGGTGCCCCTACCTGCCCTGCGACGTGCGTTTTCGGTATTGAGGAATGTATCGTCGATTTCTCGTCGCACTAACGTGGCACGTCGGAGGAATACTCAAGTGTGTGTGTGTGTGTGTGCATGTAGGCCGCGGCCCACGCTTCGTACTCTTACTGACTCCTTTTTGTCGCCTCGCGCGACGCCGCTACCTTCACACGCACACACATCTATCTATCTAACTATCAATCTATTTATCTATCTACCTATCTATCTATCCATTTATATATCTACCTATTTGTCTATCTATATACACATACGGATGTGCGTGTGTGTGTGTGTTTGTGTGTGTGTGTGTGTCCGCGTGCCTTCTTCTACTGAGGCTCGGCCCGCCGCTGTCCTTTCCTCGCTTCGCCGGTTGGTTCCGCAGTTGGTCCTGGTCGAATGAACACCCGCATCCCTCTGGCCCGTTTTGGAAGAATGCGCGCGTGTGTGTGCGTTGCCATTCCACTGGGGCTTTAAGCAGTCTGCGCATGCTGGCCAGCAGTCCCCGCCTGCCCCCACCCACAACGCTGGGTGCAATTCAGCACGTTTGATCGTGTCCCGTTCCATTATTCGCGACGGTTCCGCAACCTCGCCAGAGGAGGGACATCTGCGTGCGTGGTGGCGGACGGGGGCCCTGTGAGGCCACGATTCGGCTGTTTTCAACAAGAGACGGGCGCGCACCCTTCGGCCGACCACGGAGTTCCACGCGGGGTTGCTGGATCGGAAACACAACGACTTACATCAAATGAGCAGCGTTTCCGATGAGGCGCCGCCGCAAACGCAGTCAAGAGCGTGGGCAGGGAGTCGCCGGGAACACAGCCATCACATCGCGCTCCCGATCGATCGCCGCGGGAAGCGCAGCAATCACACTGTGTTGCCAATCGGGCGCGGTCGGGAACTCAGCGGGCAGGGCGCCTTCTGGAGAGAAGAAGCATTGTATTTCAGCTTCCCCTCGAGCTTCGGTTCGGTCATAGAATTGCTCTGCCGCGACCCCCTCCCCGCGCGGCACCAGCGACTTATGCGGCTGCTGCTCTTTATCATTCTGCAGTTCTTTCTGTCCCATTCCCGTTTTCTGAACACCCGGACGGGGGGAGACACATGGGCTGTTTCTGGGCCATGTCAATGCTCTTTTGTCGCCCGCTGTCGGCTGTGTTGCAAAGGCCTTCCCCGTCCTCCTTAAATGCCTCTCCCCATACATCGTTCTTTCCCTTCCTACTCCACCCTCTTACTCCTTGTCCTCGGCCTCCTACTCTTCCCCTGCTCCTCCTACACCTCCGTCTCCTCCTGCAATTTCTCTTTCTCCTTATCCTCCATATTCCTCCGCCGTCCTCCATCCTCCCCCTCGCACCCCTCCTACTTCCCCTCGTCGTCCTTCCGCTTCCCCTTCTCCCCCCCCCCTCCTCCTCCAGATCCTCCTCCACCTTGCCCCTCCCTCTTTTCTTCTTCGTCTTATTCTTCTTCTTCTCCTTCTTCTTTCCTTTCTTCTGATTGTTATGATTGTTATCATTGTTGTTATTCGTATTGACTTCTTATTGCTGAATGTAAAAGTATTGTTATTATTCGTGTTACCTATACGACCACCCTGCGGGTGATGAGGAGCCTCGGGGGGGAGGGGGGGCAGCAATGGGCAGCAGTGGTGATTGTTGCGTTGCCGCTCGCTCTTGGGAGCCTTGGTGTCGAGTTGTTTACGTCATCATTCGCTCTTGGGCGCCTTGGTATCATTCTCCCCCCCAGGAACCAACGAAGTAATAATATATTTAATTCATTTTGCAAGGGCTTAGGGGGCCAGTAGGGCGCGTCTTTTGGACTTCTTGGGGGGTCTTGGAGGCCTCTTGGGGGGCTCTTTGGGGCCTCTTGGGTGCCTCTTGGGAGCCTTCCATCTCTCTGTCGATCTCACAAGCGATGTCGTTATCGGATATCGGTCTCACGATCGATAGGACCATCGATCCCTCTATCGATCTCACTCGATCACTCGATCGGTTTCACTGTCGATCTCACTCTGGATCTCGCTATCGATCCCACTAACGATCTCCCTATCGATCGCACTCGATCTCACAATCGATATCACTACTCATCTCACTATCGATCTCACTATCGATCTCACGATCGATCTCAGTATCGGTCTCACTTTTGATCTCACTATCGATCTCACAAACGATCTCGTCATCGGTCTCACTATCGTTTTCGCACCAGCAGGACACCTGGACACCGGCGGGACACCGGCGGGACACCGGCGGGACACCGCGCGCCACCGCTTGCCAGAGGGAGAATCATCTGGTCGGCCAGGGCCCAGCCATAAGCGGGACACCGGCGGGACACCGCACGCCACCGCTTGCCGGAGGGAGAATCATTTGGTCCGGCCGCGCCTCAGCCATAGGAGGTTTTCCTCTCGTCGGGAGCGGAAAAGAGGGGGGTGATGACTAGGGGGGGGTGGATTTCATGGCGCGGGCCATGATTTTTCCCCAGATTTCATGGCGCCTCTTCTTATTTCATTACGTCCCTGGCCTCCCCGCTGGGCCGCGCACATGCCGCCGGTCATGATTTGCACCCCCCCCTCTTGGACACCCCCTTCTTGGCCGCTCCCGATCTCGCCCGCCCACGCAGCTTCGCCTCGCCCGCACGCACGGCACGCACGAACGCGAAACCGAAACCGATTTCCGAGTGGGGGGCTCTCCGTTCCGCTTCGATCTCACCCCCAAACCTCTGATCATGAAAATTATTACCAATATTATTCTCATTATTAGTTTTTATGACTCCTCGTATTTCTCCTCGCTGCGAGTCCAGCTCGGCGCGTCGGCCTGGCGCCCAGCGCTCGCTCTGACGCGCGGCGCGGTGGGAGCCTGAAGCACATTCCCATCGCTATGGTTGGCATCATCTTGTCTCGATGCCGGTCCAAAAGGATTCCCTCACTTGCTGAGGGCGCATCCCTACGAGAGATTGTCATCGGTTTTGGGCTGGTCCATCTTAGGGACAGGGGTAAGCTCGAGGCTGGCCATGGTGGGTCGGCTTGTGCGATTGGTTTCGACGGCTGCCTGGGGCTCCTTTGGCCGTCCCCTGCGGGGACACATGGGGCCCAAATAATGAGAGAGATAGAGAGATGGCAGCTTCGGGGAAGAGAGAGAGAGAGAGAGACGGCAGCTTCGGGGATGGGAGCTTTCCGTCGAAAGGGCGGACGCGGGAAAGTTTGACAAGAAGTGGTAGTGTCGCAGTCGGGGCACCCGACCGTCGCAGAGGTCACTGTCACGGCGCTGGGGGGGAGGTTCCCCATCTTGTTGTTACGCTTTCTCATGCCCGCTCTCTCCGCCTCTGCCTATGCGTGTGTACTCTGATGGGGTGAATCATGAGGATGATCGGAAAAGAGAGAGAGAGAGAGAGAGGGAGAGAGGGAGAGAGACACGAGGTGGCTTGGTACAGGAAGAGATGACTCGCGACGAGACAGGAGAGGAACGAGGACTGCGTTACGTGCGCGCCGCTGTTGATACATCGGGCTCTTCCACGGAGCTTGGGACTTCTTCCAGAAAAATATGTTTATGCCGTGCATCTATCTCCGTTCAGCCTAGCTCGATCGATCCTTGATCGTCGCTTGCTTCCCGCCATCGATCCAGTTCGATGCGATTCCGTTTGTGTTCAAAGTCGGTGACGTCGTTCAGACAGGTGCGGGATGAGGACAGATCGTTCCAGGGCGTTCTGGGACGCTCCCAGAGTGTTCCGGAGCGCTCTCGGACGGCCGTAATGCCCGATACGTCATCCAGACACACTGACTCGCATAGATTCCAGATTTATATCCTCATTCGAATTTGCCATCCTCCTCCCTGCGTCCTGGTTCAATCGTTGTCACCTCAGCAGGCTCCATCCCGCTGCCGCGGTCGGCCGGCAGGAGCTGGGGGCCTCGCTGGGAGCGACTGACGAGGTGGACGTCAGAAGGCGACAGCGCCTCCGTGCTAGACGTCACGATCAAAGAGTCTCTTGCCCCACTGCGGAGAGGCTGGGAGAAGTGGCTGGGGCTAGCCATTCCGCCCATTCCGCTCTTTTCCAGCCCTGGCCAGTTTCCTTCCCGAGACCTGGCGCTCTCATCCCAATAGTTTCAGACTCATTCCATCCCTTGCCAATTTTTCCAGCACCTACGCTTCCACTGTCATGGAACATTATGTAATCCTCAGCGGACTCACGAGCTTCGACAACAATTGCATAAACATAACACTTTCGGAGGTCCAGGCGGATTTCTTGGGCCGTCGCTGGACTCCGCCTGGGGGCGCCTCCGGCACCGCCCCTGGCGCGCGAAGCGCGCCAGTGAAGGGGCGCCCATCGCCGATCCAAGAAATCCGCACGGACCTCTGAAAGTCGATATTTGCTCAGATTGTCTTCTTCTAACTCCTATCAGTGGGCTCTCAAGCTCTCAAGCAGGCCCGACCAGGGCCAGCACAGTTGAAAGGCAGCCCTGACCGCAGCTCGAGATGCTCTCTTTACATGTCCTGGTCGCCTTGATTGGTGGCTCCTGAAGCTGGCGGACCTGGGTCTGCGATCGAGGGCTCTCACCTTGTCGCCCCGCCTCAGGCGCTGGGACTGACTTGTCTACTGGCCGTAGGAATCAGGCTCATAAGGCCCCAACCCGTCGATCGGGACTCGAATATGGATCATGGGATTGCTGACTTGTCGATTGATCGGAATCGGAGCGATCGTTCGAGTCACGTTCAGAAACGTTCTGCACGCTTCAGGACGAGTAGTGCTGGCCTGATCGCGGTCGAACTCAGTCCGTCGATCAAATTCGATCGGGTTCGCATGTCTTGGTAGCTGGGCGAGTGACCTCCTTGTCTAGCTTGCCAGACAATGTCATGAGTCGTTGGAGTCGTAGAAGGCCAATGTGTGTATTCCAGAGGTCCTGGCGGTGGTCCCAGTAGTAATTTCTGGGGAGTTCTGTTGCATACCTTGCGATCCTTCAAAGGTCGCGAATCTCCAGCGTGTTCCCATCAAATAACGTCGACTGGCGTCAGGCTTCTTTGCTTCTTCTCTCGCTGGCCCCCCTTCTTCCGCTGACGCTCGAGAGCAAATACTCTGGGTGTCTGCAGATACTGCTTACGCATGCGTTCTGCAGCAGCACATGAGGTTCTCGCTCGACATACTTGTTTGAGTCTGGGGATGCGCGCTTCAGTCTCGTCTTGCGCTGTGCTACATGATCTGCTCTCGGCTCGTAGTCCCCAAAGAGTAACAGCTGTAATAGTCTGGCTGGCAGGCAAACGGTTAAGCGAGCTTTCAAGATATATCACATCATGCAAGCGTGCAGACAAGTAGTCACCTAATTCAGAACATGCCCACGCACGCGAGCGGGGCTAGTTGGGTCTAGCCGATGCTGATGGCAAACAGCGGCATTGTCGGCACAGCAGGGGAGTGGTTTAGTGGCATCTGCTAAGATCGTCGGCGCAGCATGCCAGTGTCTCTTGTAGGGGGAGCGTGGCATTATCTCGATACTTCGGGGAGCATCATTGAATAAGAGGCCTCGCGGATCCCTCTCGGAGTCGCTTGGGATTTTCCAGGCGGACTCTTGGTGGCCTCTTAAGGCGTTTTGGGGGCCTCTTGGGGGCTCCTTGGGGCCGCTTGTGGCGTCCTGGGGACCTCTCGGGGCCTTGTGGCGTCATCTTGGAGATCATCGATCAACGACAAGGGGTGTCCTTCAATAGGGCTCACTTCTGGAGGTCTAATAGTCGCCTCGTGGCACCCTCTTGGGGCGCTCTCGGGGCGCTCTAGGGCGATCTGGAGCGCTCTTGGGGCCGTCTTGGGACCCTCTTAGGCCATCTTGGAGCTATCTTGAGGCTATCTTAGGCCCTCTTAGGCCAGAATGGAACATATGAGAAGCCAAACCGCATTTGGATTGATATTCGGCATCTTGGGGACGTCATGGGGAAGCTCCAACGTCACTCGGACCCGTCTCGGAGCGGCCTTGGGACCTGCTGGAGTATCTTGGAAGCCATCTTGAGCGACCTCGCGCTATTTTGTACCAGCTGGGAGGCCATTCGTGGGCTATCCGGGGCCCTCTTGGAGCCATCTTGGACTACCTTGGGCCTCTAACCATCCCCCCCGTCCAGACCCAGGGAAAGGGGGTAGGGGAAGGGGTCAAGACACCCTCCCCGCCCGCAAGCCGTCTCGATTACTCCCACCCGCCCTCCCAACACATAAGTAGCACCCGAGCCGCAGCGTGTTCAGCGGTAGTCTTTGGATGGACAGTTAATGAGAACCAAAACAGACCCCATGTGCGCAACGCTGGGACTAGGTGCGCCAGGCGTGCCAGGCGCGTCACGCGCGCCAGCACCCTGTGGCCCAAGCGTGCCGGGCACGCCTGGTGCGCCAGATGCGCCACGTGATCCACGTGCGCCATATGTGCCGCATGCTCCAGCTGCGGTGCGCCAAGTTCGGGGCACGCGCAGAGTGTGCCAGGTGTGCCTGCGCACGCGGCAGTACACAATGGGAAACGTGTCGGCCCCCACCACAATCGCGGCGGGGTGGCCATCATGGCGTCTGGTGGGCCTGCACATAGCAGGCAATATGCCAGCACCCCCGCCGTCCCAGTCGAAAACCAATGCACAGTGATCGCGGTGTGTCCGCGCATTATCCAGATTCTGTCTCGAAGTGCGTTCTGTATTATTTTTTTGGGTAGGGGTGCTCGCCCTGCGCAGAGCAGGCAGTATACGTGCATCCCCGCCGTCCCTGTTAAGCAACATTGCGAAGTGCTCGCGGCCCCCCTGATCACGGCCCACGATTTTGCCCCAAAGTGAACTTTGCGCGGTTTTCTGTTCGGGATGGTGGAGGGGTGGGCCCTGATTGTCCTGGTTGGCTGCCGCTCGCCTGGGGGGTGGGTTGTTTCTTATTCTGGAAGAGTGATCAAGCTACCCCAAGCCGCAAGCCGTGTCGCTCACTTCCAACCCGTCCTCCCAATACATGGGTTGAATCCGGGCGTGGGGCCCCGATCCCACTGAGTTCATGAGACCTTTCGAAAACGCAGTGCCGACCATTCATTGAGAAGGGTGGAGCCCGAAACACCAGCACTAACTCACACACGATTTTTCCTTGAAGCCGCTGACCCAGATAGAACTGCGAGTGGGCGGTAGAACTGCGAGCCGCGAGCCTGATGGCCTGGTCGGTTGTTTCCTCCCCTCGTTCCGACGGGCGCTTGCCCTCTGGAGGTATGACGTTCGTGCCACTTTCCACTTCCTTGTCCAGAACGGACGACCACTTTCCTCCCCCTCTTTCCCACCCCAATTGCGGAGGCCTTGCGGCCGGTGCCGCCGACCCTGAAGACGACGAAGACGAACACGAGCGTGGGGGGGTAGGAGGCGGAGGAGGAGGAGTCGGAGTGGGGGGGGAAGAGGAAGTGTGGAGGAGGCGGATGAGGGAGGAGGAGGTGGGGGAAGGATGAGGAGGAGGAGCAGGAGGAGGAGGAGGAGGAGGAGGAGGAGGAGGAGGCAGAAGAGGAGCAGGAGGAGGGGGAGCAGGGGGGGGGAGGAGGAGTATGAGGAGGATGATGATGATGATGATGATGATGATGATGATGATGATGATGATGATGATGATGATGATGATGATGATGATGATGATGATGATGATGATGAGGAGGAGGAGGGAGGAGGAGGAGGAGGGAGGAGGAGGATGATGATGGATGAGATGATGATGATGATTGATGATGATGATGATGGAGGAGGAGGAGGAGGAGGAGGAGGAGGAGGAGGAGGAGGAGGATGATGATGATGATTATGATGATGATGATGATGATGATGAGGGGGAGGAGGCGTTGTGGCATTCTTGGGTAATAGATTTTCACGGTTTCGGGGGCGCTCGTGGGCGGCGTCCCCGCTGGGATTTTCTTATGGGAGGGAGAGAGCTGGGACAACATCTTTACGAAAATCAATGAATGTGGCCCCTCCCGGCCTTCTTGAGAGTCCTTTTGGGGGCTCTTTTGACCCGTCTGGGGGCCCCCTTTGGCCGTCCTTCGGCGTTCTTGGTCTGTTTTGTGGGGCGTGGGCCGTCCAGGGGCTCTCTAGCGGATCCGTCGTGGCGACCCCCCCCCTTCTCCAGCGCATCTACAGAGGGCCCCTCTGTAAAAGCCGCAAACGGGGGATGGTATTCTGACCCGGGACGCCCCCCAGGACCCCCCCCGGGACCCTCCCCCCCCACCGGCGGGGAAGTGATCAAAGGGAAGGGGCTGTCCTTCGACTCAATGACAGCGTTGTTGATTTCGCTTTGGCTGGGTTGCTTTATTTCGCTTTGGCTGGCGCGCTTGAGGACGAGGGCCAAGGGAAAGAGGGGGGGAGCGGCGACGGACCCAGAAACGATGACGACGAGTAAGTACGAGGATAACCACGACGCACAACCCATTCCACACGCCGACAGGGTCGGCGGATTTCCTCATCATCAGCCGTGATATTCCTGACCAGCTCCTATGTCACTCATTGCAGATGGGTTGGGTACGTCGCAGGGTAAATTGTTGAAAAGGGATGGCGTTGAGGAGCCAGATGGTCCTGGGTCTGTCGCTGCTCGGGTGGGGGAGGGGGTCTATATCAGGAACAAGGATACTCCCTTCCTCGAGAGGGAAGAAGAGGGAATGCCAGAGGGTTGGAAGAGGAAGCGCCCTGAACCACATATGCCCTAAAGGGCTGGTGGGCTTGCGCCAGCAGCATCATCACTGCAGCAGGGCGCCACCAGCATATGCTGGTACTTCGACCCCCTTCCGTTCTGGCGATTCCTGGTTGTTTCCCCCTGACAAAAATCGATCGTAGGAGTTCCGCGCGGACCTCCGAAAGTTTGTGTGTTGTATAGTTGTTTCTTCCCTTGTTCTTTAGGAAGGTCGAGGACAAGGTGATTAGCGGGTCTGGTCGGGACTGGTCGAGGTTGTCGAGGGCCCAAAGGCAGTAACATATAAATATATGCGTTCGGAAATCCGCGCGGACCTCCGACAGCTTGTGCGCGTTGTGTAGCTCTTTTCCCTGTTATCAAGGAAGCTCAAGGACAAGGGGATCGACGAGTACCTCCTGTACCCCGTATCGCAGTCCGCAGTGGAGGATCATTCGTGCTCGGGGGCGGCAGGGTGCAGCCTTGCCTCCCCTCTCCCTCCCGGTGTGCTGCTGCAGCAGGTGCGTTCCTGCAGCGCCCCTCGTTATCCAGGCGCTTTTGAGGCCAACAAGGGGCTGCGTTCCTCACAGACAAGCTGGAAACAGCGGCTGGGGCCAGCCCTTTTCTCTCTTTCCAGCCCTTGCAAGTTCCCCTGTAGTTGTTTCAAGACCTGGCGACCTCGTCCCAACTGTTTCAGGCTTGTTTCAGCCCCTGCTAGTTCCTCCAGCCCTTGCCACTTCCACTTTCACTGACCTTTCAATTTTGTCGCTTATGGCAGTAGCTCGACTGTAATCGAACACCTTGCTTCAAGACGACATCAAGATCCCTACAAGAGGGTCTGAGGGGTCTCCAAGACGGCCCGAGATCGCTCTAACACGCCGAAGATGGCCTCAAGACGGCCCAAGAGGCCCCAAAGACGTCCCGAGAGGGCTCCCATAAGGACCCCGAGACGGCCGTCTTGGGCCCCTCTTGGGCCGTATGGCAGCCCTCTTGGGGGCCTCTTGGGCCGTCTTGGGGCGATTGTTTGGGTTTCGGAGCTGTCTTAGAGCGTCGGACGCCCGACAAGGCGAGAATGAAAGCAGTATCGTTTACCGTGTAGTAGGTCGCATGGGTCTGGCCCCGTGCTCCGCGGAGAATTTACCCGCACAAGCCCATGCAGGGATGGGAGCCACCCGCCCACCGCCCGTCGTATCATCAGTCCGCAGAGCCATGTTGGGCTGCCTTCCAGTAATAACAAAAAGTAAGCTCGTGCTGGAGATTTCAGGCAGCCAAGCGCTCTCTGATGAGGACGGCGTTCAACACTACGTTTTGTTATGATTTGTGTCGCAATCGAGTATATGATGCAAGGTGTACGACTCGTGATGTGCGTGCGTGCGTGCGTGCGTGTGTGTGTGTGTGTGTGTGTGTGTGTGTGTGCGCGTGCGTGCGTGCGTGCGTGCGTGCGTGCGTGCGTGCGTGCGTGCGTGCGTGCGTGCGTGCGTGCGTGCGTGCGTGCGTGCGTGCGTGCGTGCGTGCGTGCGTGCGTGCGTGCGTGCGTGCGTGCGTGCGTGCGTGCGTGCGTGCGTGCGTGGGTGTGTGCGTGCGTGGGTGCGTGCGTGCGTGCGTGCGTGCGTGCGTGTGTGTGTGTGTGTGTGTGTGTGTGTGTGTGTGTGTTTCCGTTCTATCCTTTTACGGGTTTTACGGGTCGTTGCCTCACCTTGCTACGCCCGGCCGTTAATCATTCGCCGACGCGTGCTCTTTGCGCGGCTCTTCGTTTCACGTCCCGCCCGTCTGGATCCCCTGGGAGGACCCTCAGCCGCGATCGCCGGTCCTGGACTTCGCGTCTTCGACGCGTCTCTGCCTCCTGACCCCTCCGCGCCCCGCGCCCTGCCAGTCCCCACGCTGCCTCGGGCGTGGATCTACCCGCCCCTGGCGCTGGTCACGGGTCTCGGGCTGCTGCTGGTCTTGGCCGACACCCGCGCGCGTGGGCGCCCTTCGCCACACGCGGCCCCTCTGGCGGTGCTCGTCTTCCTTTGGCCCAGGAAGCGTCCGTCCGCCCCGCCCCTCCAGGCGCGGGCCCGCTCCGGCCGCCGCCCCGCCTCGGCAGGCTCGATCCCCTCGGGATGACCCTCAGCGGCGGTCGCCGGCCTGCGGCTCGGGTGCGCCCGCCTTCTCTCTCCGCGGCGGGCCCAGCCGGCTCGCTCCGTGCAGATGGCCCCGTCGCACCACCTCCGATTCGCCGGTCCCCTGGGCTGCCTCTGTGTTGCTCGTCCAGCCGCGTTGTCCTGGCGCTTCTCCCGGGCCTCGCTCTCTCCCGTGCGCGGTCCGACGGGCGCCGCCGCTCCGTGGCCCGTTGGCGCTGCCCCCTCCCTGGGAGGCGTGGGCTTGTCTTTTGCCTGGCTGCTCTGCCAGTTCTGTTCCCAGGGTGGAGCCTCTGGGTGCGTGGGCGCGTCGAGCCGGTACACGCGGCGACTTCGGTCTTCTTGGCCGCGTCGCTCTCCACCGTGGAGGTGGCTCGCAGAGGCGCTACGTGGCGGTCTTGCCCCACTCGTGGCCCCGCCTCCCTCCCGCCCCTGGCCCGCGCGCTGGCCCCGCCCGCGGGTCGGCGCGCCGCCCCAGGCCGCTTGCTGTCTGGGCTCCCCCGCTTTCGCTCCTCGCTCCGCCGCGCTTGCCGCGCCTCCCGCCCCGCCCCGCCCTTCGGCTTTTCGGGCCCCTCCTGGCCCTCTGGCTGGGTTCAACCTGCCGCCCGCCTGTCCTCGCAGGTGCCCTAGCTTCCCGCCCCTCTGGCGCCGCCCGCTCGAGCTCTGCGCGCCGCTCCCTGCCCGCCTCTTTTTTGTCGCGGCCTCCGCCATTTCGCCCTTCGCCCTCCGCCGCTCTCGATCTGGGCACGGCCCCTGCCTTCCCTGCCCGCCTAACTTTGGCGCGTATGCCCTGCGGGCGCTGGCTCGCCCAGCGACTTCCCCCGCTGCTCGCCTGCCCCGCTGCCCCGCCCGCTGGCGCCTCCCAACGGGCCGCCGCCTCCCCGGCCGCTGCGGCCGCTGCTGCCTCGTGCCGGGCCACGTTTTCGCTGCCCTTGCTGGCGCCGCGGCCGCGCCAGCGGCATAGCTTCGACGCCACGGCGGTGCTCCTGGCCGCGACGACCGAGAAGTGTGTCTCCTCGGTGCCCTTGGCTCAAGCCGCTCTGGCTCGAGGGGGGCCGCCACGGCCGCCGCCGCGGGGCCGGAGGTCGGCCCCGACCTCCAGCGTGCCTTGGGGGGCTGCCCCGTCCCTCCCCTCGCCCTGTCTCTGGTAGCGCCGGGTCGGCCCCCGCTGCGCTGTGGGCGCTGCCAGGCCCGCCGCGCGCGCGCCGCTGCCGCCGCTGGCGACACCTTGCGTGCCGCCGGGCCCGCCGCCAGAGCTGGCTGGCCGGCCGCCCGATGGCCCGCCCTGGCAGCGTCGCCGCGGCCGCCGCGCGCAGCCCCCGCCGTGCCCTCTTGCGCCGCCAGGGCTGCGGCCGCGGCCGCTGCTTGCCCAGCGGATGCCGCTGCGGTGGCCCGTTCTGCCGCCGCCGCCGCGGCCGCTGCGGCCGCCCAGGCGGCCACTGCCTGCGGCGCTGCCGCCGACGCGGCGGCGCTGGCGACCTCCGCTGGCCTCTGGACTGCGGCCGCGACCCTGGCCCGGGCCGCGGCCGCCGCCGCCGACGTTGCGCCCCCAGGTCGACCCCCAGCCCGCCGCCCGACCCGACTCCCCGGAGTTGGAGCCCAACGCGATCAGCTACAGTGTCGGGTCCACGAATCCGGAAACATACAGCGGTGGCAGCAGGCCGCGTTGCCGCTCAGCCAGACGCTGTACTGCGCTATTCGTGAGCCCAACGCGATCAGCTACAGTGCTGCTGGATCAGCGAGTGCTGCAGTGGAAAGCTACGGCAGCGTGCCGCGACGCTGCTCGGCGGGATGCTGGGCGCCAGGTTCGAACTCCACGCGAACAGCTGCAACGCTGGTATCAGACACTGCCAGCCTGCTAAGCAGTGGCAGCGGGCCGTGCCGCTGCTCGGCGAGACGCGGACGGGGATGGTGGAGCCCAATGCGATCAGCTGCAGTTCTGAGATCAGCGAGCGTGAGACGCTAGTCGCTGTATCCCCGCTCAGCGCGATCATCTACCACGACGCCCAGCCTCGAGCCCAGCCCCGCGCTCCCCCCGACTGCTCCGACGCTTCGCCAGACGTCTTGCTCGACCCTCCTGCAGGCATCCTGCTCCACGCCTACGTTCAGCCCGAAGCCAAGCCCATCGGGTTGCAGGCTGAGCAGTTGGATCCAAATGGGAGCAAGCTACAGTGCTGGGATCAGCGAGCATGAGCAGTAGCAGCGGGCCACGCTGCTGCTCAGCGAGATGCTGGAAGCAAAGCTGGAGCCCAGCGCGATCAGGTACAGTGCAGGGACCCGCGAGTGCGGATGTAGAGCCGCGACCCCGAAGGTCGCAATCGCGACCGCCCGCCCCTTGTGACGCTGCCGCCATCGGCAGTGCCCGCCTGGTGCCCCCGAGCGGCGCAGCTGCCGCCGCCCGAACTTCGACCGAGGTTCTGGCGGTACGGGGTGGCCCGTCCTCTCAGAGAAGGATGGGCCGTGAGTCGAGTCGCGCTTGTGGTTGCCAATGCGGCACGATGGCTCTGCGTGCTCGTGGCTCGCGCCCGAAGCCATGGTTCTGATCGTAGGCAGCAACCGCGAGGGGTGCCCACGGGTGCCCGCAATGCCCGTGGGGGGCTCTTATTCATAGCTTTGTGTTGCTTTGCGTTGCTGCGCATTGCTTCGCATTGCTTTGCAGTTCATGGCATTGCATAAAACAGCACTGCAGATATTGGCCCCGTGATCAAGGGTTGCGTGCTTCCCAGGTACCAGTACGCCTGGCTTGCTAGCCTCGCAGCCGTAGCTGCTGGCGCCAAGGAGGCACTGTTTCCTCCTCTCCTTCTGCCTCCCTTCCTCGCCGCGGAAGAAGCAACTATGCAGCTCATACTTCATTCATCTGTTCTGATGGTAAACGCAAGTAACTCAAGTAACGCCTAGACATTTACAAACAATATACTCTAAGACATATCGTTGCGAAGATAGCAAAACTACAAACTTCCGCACCTGCCGAATGGCTGGCGTGGATAGTGGAGAAAGGTGGCTGGGAAACCGCTAGCCCTTGCTCTTCATTTGGCAGGGCGCGGTCTCCCCCTCCGGCAGGCTTTTTTTTCAGGCCCCTTTCAGTGCCGCGGCGGGCCTGCCCGCCACGGGGCCCAGGGACGGCGCTTCTGTGGACTCCCCCTCGGGCCCCCTCGGGTCCGCCCCTTCCTGGCCCCCGGGCCCCCGTCGCCTGGTTCGGCGCTGGCTGTCGGCTCCTTCCTCTGCTGGCGCCTCTCGGGGCGCGCGTGTTCCTGAAACTGTTTCTCCTATCGGAAGCCGCCCGCCTTTCAGGAGCTGTCCTCCAGCGTGCGGACACCCCTTCCGGTTGCCCCCCTTGCTTTTCTTGCCACAGGCCCCCCGCTGACGGCCGCGCCCCTGTGCAGGAGCCGTCAGGCGGGGCACCCGCTCTCGGCCGCACCCCTGCGCAGGAGCCGTCAGGCGGGGCCCCGCTCACCCCGCAGCCTCCCATCCCGCAGGCTCCCGCCGCCGCCCTCGACGACGCCGCCGAGCCACCGACGCCGTTCCCTCCCCGGGCCGACGCTCTCTTCCCGATTGCTTTCCCGACGTCATGGCCCCCCTGGGCCGGCGCCCGCGTCCCCGCGTGCCCTCCGGACAGTGGCGCCTGTCCAAAGGCTTTCTTTGCGTCCTGCGCCTCGGCACCATCGCCGCTCGCTCCTCGCGCCGTTCCTTCCCTGGGCCAACGCCCCTGCCGCGTCGCTGACCCCGGCGCCGCCCCCGACGACCGCCCCGACACCGCTCCCTCCCTGGGTCGGCGCCCTCACCCCGGCGATGCCCGTTCCGCCGCCCCCGACGCCGCCGCCGACGACGCTTTCGCCGCGGGCGCCACCCTGAGCCGGCGCGCCACGTCCGAGGCCCCGTCCCCGAGTTCACCCTGCCCACCCCTCCCTCTGAAGCCGACCCCGACGCTCGCTCTGTTCCTGACGACCCCAGTGACGTCGGACCGTACGACGACTGGAGTGCCGGGAGTCCCTTCGCTGCTCTCTGGCCCGCCCGCGCGGGCCCGCGGGTCGAGATCTCTTGTCCGTCCCTCTGGCCAGCCCCCCCCCCATCGAGCCATCGCGCCCTCCGCGCGGTTGATAATTCACCTGCTCGTCAGAATGGCGCCCCAGCAGCGCTTTCCCCGCGCGCCGATCGCGAGGCACATCCTGATTGGAAAAACTGTTTGTGCCGGCGCCCCCCACGACGACGCCGCATCGGGCCCATCCCCCAACAACACTCCCCACGCCCACCCTGGCGCGACGAGGGTCTCGACATCTACCCCGATTCCGCTCGGCTCCACGACTCCGTTCCCCGACGCCCACAGACGCCTGAGGCCTGGGCGGCCCTGGGTCGCTGCGCCGTCAGCTGCAGTTCAGGAGGGGCCGCGCGACCCGTGGGCGCTATGGAGGTCCCGACCCGAGCCCACAGGGGCCACCCCTGAGCGTGCGGGCGCTGCGACGGGCGCTGCTGGCAGGGCCGCGGGTCGCAGCCTCTCAAGCGTCAAGAACCTTGAAACACTGGCGGGCGGAGCACGCGGGAGGCGAACCCGTTTTGGGCCCCCTGAGGCGCCCTCTCTCTTCCTTGCTCCGTCTCCCCGCTTTGCCTTGCCTTTCGCCTTGGATGTTATTCGCCCGCCGAATTCTGGTGGCACTTTGCCACTTCGGTCGCGCGAGTTTCTTAGGTTGACGGCATGGCGAGTCGCCTGTCCGCTGACGCCCGAAAAGGGTGCGTGTCCTCTTCGCTTGCCTTTTGGCTTTCTCTGCCGCCCCCACCCCCTGGTCGGCTTCGGCCGTTTTTTTTCGCCATTGGCTGGGCCTGCCAGTGGCTCTTTCTTTGCCGCTGCTCGCTTCGGCATGCGCCACGGCTGGGCGACCGCCTGGCGCCGCTCAGCGGTGCCTACCCCTCCTCCTCCTCCTCCTCTTCCTCCCTCCTCCTCCTCCCTCCTCCTCCTCCTCCTCCTCCTCCTCCTCCTCCTCCTCCTCCTTCTCCTTTTCCTCCTCCTCCCTCCTCCTCCTCCTCCTCCTCCTCCTCCTCCTCCTCCTCCTTCTCCTCCTCCTCTCCTTCTCCCTGCTCCTCCTCCTCCTCCTCCTCCTCCTCCGCCCTCCTCTGTCGCGCCGGCTGAGGGCGCTCGCCTCTGTGCACATACAGTTACTCGCGCCGCTTGACTTTTCTGCCCTAGAGAGCCGCCTACGTGTGTTGTCCTCAGGCGCGCTACAACAGCTGCGCCGCTTGACAAGGAAATCAATTCGCCGTGAGCGTGACCCTCCGTCGTGCTTCCGCTGGTTGGACCCAGTAGCGCCTCGGAGGAACAAGCGTGTGTGTGTGTGTGTGTGTGTGTGTGTGTGTGTGTCCTGCAGGCGCGCCTCCTACAGTGAATGCGCCTCTTCCACGCTGTGCTCAACGTAGCCCTTCTGCACGCCAGCTTGCGGTCTCCCGTTTGCCGTCGGTCTACAACAACGCTATGCGCAGTTCATCACGTCTGAGCGTGTGTGCATGTGTGTGCTCGGTCAGCCTCCTGCGGCAGCCCCTGGAGCTGCCTCATCGGTCTTGGCCTGGGCGGCCTCCCAGCTTCATTTGCTCGGCGCGCCGCCTGGCGGGTCGTCCTTCCCTTCTCCGTCCTGCCGTCTTGCGTCGCTCCTCTGCTTTTCCTCGGCTCGTCCCCCGGGCTGTCGCCCGTGTGGTCGTCCTCCTCCCTCTGTCGTCGGGCCGTTGCTGTCGCCCCCCTTCCTCCCTTTGGCGGCCTCGGGTTCGCCCTGGTTCTCGGGCGTCGTCCCCTCCTCTGCTCCCGCTGCTGCGCTCTTCCGGGCCCTCCACGAGGGTGCTGGCGCTCCTCTCTGGGGGGGGCATTTCTTGGCCTGCCCTTGCCAGCCGTCACCTTCATCGCCTGTATCCTTCGCCGCATCGTGCCACCCCGAAGCGGGCCGCCTGCGGCTTGTGCACGTGCCTGTCTGATGCTGTGCGCGCCTGCCTTTGTTCTGCATCCGTCAACTCCTGTTGGTTGCTCCCCGTTTGCGCTCGGTAGTAATCTGCGTAGCGCATCCCGCTGATGCTCCCGCTGTTGGACCAGACGGCCGCGAAACACAGCGTGTATGTGATATGCGATGTGCTGGTCCGTCCAGGGTGACGGTCCACCCCTCGCATGACTTATCAGGGAGCCTGCCGCCGCCACCTGTGCCCGCCAAGTTCCCTGCGCCGCCCCCCCGCGCCCTCCATGCTTCATCTGCGTTTTCGCGCCCCGGTCTGCCGTTTTGGCCGCGCTCAGAGTCCGCCAGCGGTGCGACAAACAGGCGCGTGATGTGCACGCGCTCGACCAAGGGCCAATAGCCAACGGACTCTGGCCTCGGTCCCACACAAAGTGGCGAATGTCGTCTGAGCGTAATTCGCCTGTTTTGTCTTGCTTGAGTAGTTGATTGCAACCCGTCGATCGGCTCGCGGGATTAAGAAGTGTGTGTGTGTGTGTGTGTGCGTGCGTGCGTGCGTGCGTGTGTGTGTGTGTGTGTGTGTGTGTGTGTGTGTGTGTGTGTGTGCGTGCGTGCGCGCGTGCGTGCGTTGACCGCGCCTGAGGATCCTCTGCGCCGCCGACTTTAACATGTGTGTGTGTGTGCGTGCGTGCGAGTGTGCGTGCGTGTTGCGAGCTGGGGCCACCCGCGCGCGCTTTCCACCTTCGACCGCCCGCCTGATTCTGCCGCGTTGTTGCGCACGTGACTGCGGCGTCACGCTTGTGTGTGATTGTGTCATGGGCGCAATGTGCGCAATGTTTGTCGTGAGTGTAACGCCAATGACGCTCGTTCTGAGTTATGTGCATGTGTCGAGTCATGTCGTGCCGTGCCGCGTCACGCTCTGTGTATTGTGATGTGGTTTGATGTGATTTGTTGCGGTGTTATCTGGTCTGGCACCATGCGCGTAGTGTATGTCATGTGAGGGCCCACCGTCCGCACTATTGCACGAGAGTTAAATGGTATCAACGTGTGTCATGGGAGGGTGCCTGCCTTTTGCTTTGGTCTCCACGCCATCATGCCGCAGGAAATGGTGCGCGGGTCACTACAGCATCAGTTCAGGGCGGAGTACTTGTTAGTGCGACAGTTGGGTCTTCCTCTTCCTTCCAGCAGCTCTCCCACTCTCTTCTTGTTTCCTTGCGTATCTTTCTCTTGCATTTGTCTCTGTCTCCCGCCAACCTCTTCCAGATCCTCTTCCTCTTCGTCTGCCCCGCCCTCCTCCTTTGCTTCTCCGACTTCTTCATCCTTCTCGTTTTTCACCTCCCTCTCTCCCGCTTCGCTGCAGTCAGACCGCTGCTTTGTGTCCACCCAAGGCCCACGCGAAGCACCGAAGGCAGGCACGATGTCCACTGGGCCACTGCGCAGCAAAGTACACATTGCTGCCGCATCGGTCTCGGCATGCGCATGTCCTGCGGCGACGTGAAGGTTGTTGCCGCCATCGGTGAGGGGCGTATCGTCGCCCAGAGCATCCGACGAGGCGTGCCCCGGGGCGCCAGCGCCTGGCAGGGATTGCGATCTCCCAGGCTTTCTCTCCGATTCGGGCATCCATCGCCCGCGTCGTCCGACGGCGCTGGCCATGTCAGGCATGTGAAGCCTGACTGCTTGTAGACCAGGGCGCTGAGAGGAGCAAAAGCTACCCATACCCCCGCTCGTGCTGGAGAGCACTCGTCGTCACGGCTGCATCGTCGTCGAAAGTCTGGTCAGAATATTCTCCGGGGAGAGGTCTGGGGTATTTTTTGGCGCCCCCGCGCGCGCTGGTCGTCCAGGTGGCCTGCCGCAGGCGAGCATCGCGGCTGGACCTCGCAGTCGAAGGCGCCGGGCTTCCCCGCGGTTGCAGCTGGCAGCGCCCCTCCCACGTCGGGCGACGCCAAGTCCATTTGGAGCCAGTCCAGTTGAAGTCAAGGGGCTCCATCTTGTGAGGCTCCAACTGGGCTTCGCCTCTCCCAACCACGTTGGCTCCTCGTCAGGGCGCTCCCACTGGGCGGCCAGAGCCCTGGGCGGCTGTGGGCCCGGTCTACCTTCGCCCACCCCTCAAGCCGCCGACGCTCCTCTCCCGAGGCCTGCCCATGGCCGCTGTGGCCGCGGTGGCGGCGGCCGCAGAAGGAGACGGTGCAGTCTTCTCCCCCTCGGAACAGATCTGGGTGACGCAAATTCTCAGTTTTCGGCCTCTGAAGGCCGTCTCTCTGGTCCCTGGGCCGCCAGAAAACGACTCGGGATGGAAAGCCGGTCCCTGGAAAGGGGTCGAGCTCCCTAGGAGCCGACGTGGGGGTGTCAAACATTTGCCGCACGCAGCTGACTTAGCCCCCTCCGCGGGGCCAACTCCTCGGCATCGTGGGCCCCTCTGGAACCTGGAGGCTCTGGGAGAACCAGCTGCGTCTGCTGCTTCGCACCTCCCCCCGTACATACCCTCCTTTCCCAGTGGCTCTGGGGCCCTCAGGGATGGGGCCCAAGTTAATGATATGGAGAGGGCTTCCAGGTTGAGCTTGCATTGTTCAATGCCTCCTCGCCGTAGGGCCATTTTATCATGTCCCCATCTTTGAAGTGCTGACTTTCTTCCCACCCTGGGCCCCGATTCTGGGCAGAGCCGCGCATGCGTGTGCTTTGGTCCTGTTCCGCTGCGTTGGCCGCCAGCGGTCGGTGCGGCCCGCGGCGCGGGTTTTGCGCGCCGCCATGCCTAGTTGGGCTGTGCGCGGTGCAGTGTTTGCTCGAGACCTGCAGGAGCGTGCTCGGATTTTTCGGGAACGTCAGCTGCCGTGTATGAAGCTTCGTCTTGTAAGCTGACCACCTCGCCGATCCTGGCAAAACCCACCCTGGGCTCGGGATCGGTGTGCACGCCCTCCTCGCTTCGCCAGGGATGCGTATACACAGATTTATCCCTATTGAACCGCTGGCAGGCTCGTGCCGCGATGGCCCGCTGGCTGGCGGCCGCTGCTGCGGGCGCGCCCGCCAGCCCGCTGGCACTGGCTCCCAGCGCCGCCGACACGACCGGCACTGGTGGCAACGCTGGCGCCGCTGGCGCCGCTGCCGCGGCCGACGCCCTTCGGGCAGTGGGCGCCGCCTGTGCGATCAGCTCCGCCGGCGCGGCTGGCTCCGCCGACGCCTCTGAGGTGCTGCCGACACCGCCACGCGTGCCTGCATCCTCGGCGCTGTGGGCGCTGCCGGTGCGCCGGGACTGACTGCCGCCTCCCGCGGGGCGCCCTGGCCGGCCGCCGCGGCCGCCGTCCGCGCGGCTGCCGCCGCGGCCGCCGCGGGCGCCGTTGGCTTGGCCGCCGGCGCTGCTGCCGCTGTTGCCGCCGCTGCCGCCCTCTCTGTGGGGGCGGGTGCGCTTGCTGTCGCTCGGGTCGCCGCCGCTGCGGCTGCAGGCGCGGCCACCGTTGCGGTGGCAGAGGCGGCCGGCGCCGGCGCCGAGTCGGCGCTCCTCTCTGCGCCTGCCGCCTCCCTGGCGGCCGGAGCGGCGCGCCAGCAGGTGGGATGGGATCTATCTCGGACGACGGGATGCTCCACTCGGGCTCCCCACCGCGCACGTCCCACAGCGACCTCGGTGCTCAGGACCCCGTGGCACCTCGCCGGGTGGACAGCGGACGACCGCGCGGACAGCTTCGCCAGGAGGCGGCAGGTAGAGCTCGAGCACGGCCGCGTGACCATGCTGGCTACTATGGGCTGGCTTCATCTCGGGAAATCGGTGCGACTTGGCGGCAGTGACGGCGGACGCCCGCCTTAGCATGTTGGTGTTCACCGGTATGTTTTTCCAGGAGAGAAGTGTCGATGATACCTTTGCGAATTCGAGAACGAACTATTTCGATATGAGGCGTCGCCGCCACGATTGGTCTCGCCTCGAAAACCTGGTCTGTATGTTCTCGGAAGGGACCGAAACAATTTCGCTGCGACTTTGTGCAGCACCGCTCGCGCCGAGGCTAATTAGCAGCCCTGGTGACGTCCCTAGGGATGCAGCCGTGGTCTATGCCGTGACGCCCCTGGGAATCCAGCCGTGATCTGTGACAGCTCGTCTCCTCCCCTGGAAGGCGCTGGAACTCTTTTCCTCCTTCGCCTGGTGCTCCCCCCAGGTCTATCGCTCCCCACGCTCTGAACACTGCTTGGTGGCAGGTGACTGATGTTGTTGGCATGTTTTGTTTTACGCACCCTTCAGATTCGTTTCATTTTCCCGCCCTGCTGAAGAGGCCACATGCCCGTGCACGCGAGCACCTCGACTCGGCTACTCGCCCGTCGGTTCCGGCATTTTGCCGACGTGAGGACGTCACCAGCAATGGCCGGGTTTCAGGGGGCGACCGCGTCGATCCTGGCGCCGCCGAGCCAGGGGGCGACAGCTCGGCACAGCAAGTGCTACCCGGCACCCGCCCGGAGGGGCATGGGCAGGCGCAGCAGGAAAGGACTCCCGAGGAGGGCGCTGGCAGCACCTGGGCCGCGGAGGGTGCCTCTTCGGCCAGCCTCGCCGCCTCGCTTGGCCGCCTTGGTTCGAGCCCCCTCGAGACCGACGAACGTGCACAGACCCACGCCGTTTTCCATGTCCCTGGTTTAGGGCCTGATGTGCAGCCGCCTGAGTGTAACTTTGACGAGTACGCAGACTGGACATGCTGGGCGCTACACGAGGTGGCCATCTTCGGGTACAATGATCGCCCCTGGCCGTCGTCTGCTGGCGAGAGCGATTGAGCGACAACGCGGGAGCCCGCTGGCGGCCGCCTCGAGACTCCTACCCCTGGCCCTGACCCTGCCAACCTCCACGGCAACTCTCAATGCATTGCTTGCCTCGAGCCCATTAGGGAGGAGACTTGCGGGGAGCTCTGTGAGCCCCGTGAACACGTGCGCCATAGGTGCTTCCTGCAGACCGCACCGCAGAACGACGACACCATCAGCATCAGCCCTGCCATGAACACCCCAGCCCTCCTCGCAACAACCGCAGCAGCAGCCGCAGCTGCGGTCGCAGAAGCGGCGCTCGCGCGGTGGCCGCTCAGCAGCCGCGGCGCCCCCGCGACGGAAGGGCCGGCGGCGACGATGGTGCGCGTGAAGGCACGGCGGCCGCAATCGCTTCCGAGGAGGCGCACGGCGGTGGCCGAAGTAGGCCACGCGCCCCTGCGGAGCGACAGCAGTGCCCCAGCGGAGAAGGCCCTTGCAGAGGAGATGGAAGACAGCTCGCTCGGTCTCTTGGCCTCGGCCCCGCCCGCGCCGCCCCCTCCGCCACCCGCCCCGGTGCTCTGCTCGAGTAGGCTCCCGGCGGCCCCTCCCTCAGCCCCGTTCCCGCCGTTCCCCGAGCCTCGCGCGGACGGGCGCATGGAGGGTTCTGGTGGGGCCTTTTCGGAGCGGGCCGCGGGACGCCCCCGCGCTCGCGGCGCGCCGGCGGCAGACTGGAGTTCGGGCGAGGCGCTCCGCCCGCGTGCGCGTGAGGGCTCTGGTCAACCTGGAGCCGGACGAGCAGGGGGGCGACAGTGCAGAGAGCGCGCTCGGTGTCACCGGCGGCCGCCCGGCTTGATTTGCATATAGGGGTCGCGTCTGTGGCCTCTCCCTACCCTGCTCGTCCGTTTGGGTGTTGTGGCCGCCGCCGAGGCCGGCTGAGGCGGCTGCCGCTGCTGGACTGTGGCTGGCGGCTGCCGCCGTCGTTTGGGTGGCCACCGCGTCCGCCCGGCTCTATGCAGCGGCTTGAGCTGGAGACCGACGCCTGTGTGTTGCAGCGTCCGCCATCGTTTGATCCAGTTTTTTGTCGCCTTGGCGTTGCAATGCCAATGCCCTCGCAGCAGTCCGTTTCGGCTTGTTGCCGCGCTGCTATCATGCTCGTGACTGCCATCAGATCTGATTTTCTGCCTTGTCAGGCTCGGTTTTTTGTCGCCGTGGTGTCGTTAGCATGCTCATGATGAATACGCCGCCGTCGGACCAGGCCGCGTAGACTCCCGTGGAACCGAACCAGCGGCGGGCCTCCCGATCGGTAACTCCTCCTCCGTCGCCCCTCCCTGGCCCTCCTCCTCCTCCTGCCCCCCCCCCCTTCCCCTCGTGTGCCGCAACATTGTGCCCGGCGCCGCCGCGCTGGGCTCCGCCCCCGTGGCGGCCCCGCTGTCTGACTTGTGCTGCGCGGTCTACATGACCCAGCATCAGGTCGACTTCCTGCCGCCCCGGCGGCCCGCGGCCCCGCTGCCGCTCTGCACCCGCGCTGCGCGGCCCTGCCTGGGGCGCCGTGCTCCCGTGGACCATGACGGAGGGACGCTGTGACGGTCAACTCGCGACCCGGAGGCATGCCTTGTTGCATTCGTTTTGTGTTATGGCGTCCTCCCTGGTCCGCGCTTTGCTCCCCGCCACCCCGTGGCCTGCACTTGACACATGGGGCAGATTTGTCGTTTCCCTGGGCGCATGTGCACTCCCTACGACCACCCTCGACTGACATATTGTCAGTCTTGCTTGTTTCCCTGGCCCATGCTTTGGCCCATTTGTCCTTTGCTGAGCTGCGCACGCCCCTGCTTACCTGTACTACCTGTCTGCTTCAGCACACCCCGAATAACTTCTCGCTCCGAGGGCCTCCCTGCCGCGGGCAGCTTCTCCCCTTGTCCTCCTGTCCTCCTTCTGGTTTTCCCTTCTGTTTGTGCTTTACTTTGCTTCGTTCCGCCCCATCGTTGCCGCACCGCTGCTTGGATCCAAGCGGCCTCCGACCGAGAAACGCGTTCGGCGAGATTTGACATCACGATGTGTCGCGCGTCGGGTCGCCAGAGTATATTCTTGGGCGGAACGAGGACCATCGTGTGGGTTGTGTGCCGCGCAAAGACACCATCCTCACAGCTTCGACTTTGTGAAGGGCGCCGCTAGAGGGTTCGGGTACTGGCAAATATTTGTTTGTGTGCTGACGACACAGCTTTTGCTCTTTTCGGCCCAGGCCGAGAAGAAATCCAACGCGATGCGTAGAGCTGACGCAGTCTAGAGCGCTCGTGTGCGAGTGCTGCGCGAGGGGGCGAATTGCCGTTGCACTGTGTCATCGTGGGCATAGCGACATACATTGATACCAAATGGCTTTCGGCCCATTTCGCCACCGTGCCTGGGTTGTGGGTATGAAGCCTACTGGATTTTCGTTGGGATCTCGTGGGAGGCCTCTCGGGGGCATCTCGGATGCAGTTTGAAGCCTCTTCGGCACCGTTTTGAGGACTCTTGGGGCCTCTTTTGGGCCTCTAGGGGGCTATTAGGGCCTCTTGGGAGCTTCTTGGGGCCTCTTGGGCGCCTCTTGGGGCCTCTTGAGGCCTTCTGGAGGCCTCTTGGGGCGGAAGGCTGGGATTTCAGGTTCGTGTTCCCTCTCTGGGCCCCCTTTGGGGCCATCTTGGGGCCTCTTAGGTTGTTTTGGTTGCCTCTTGGGCCGTCTTGGCGCGCTCTTAGGCTGTCCAGGGGCCCTGTTAGAGGTCTCTTGAGCCGTCTTGGGGTGGTTTCGGCCCTCTTGGGCCAACTTGGAGCGTCGGGAAGCAGAAAAAGGGGAGAACGCCCAAGTCCTTCAAACATCTGGGGAAATCATTTATTGTTGATTTCTGGAGCCCTCTTGGGAGGCTTCTTCGAGGCCTCTGGGGCGATCTTGAGGCCATCTTGGGCGTCTTGCAGCGATCTTTCGTCTTGGCCCGTCCTGAGGCCCTCTTGGACCCGAACACGTCATACGGGAAGACTCCCCGCAGCCCAGGGGAATCGCAATAAGCCCTGGTGGACTTGAGAATTTGGGGTCTGGGCCCTAAGAGACTACTCAGGAGGGAGGGCTGAGTCTTGCGGGCTGAGACGTTAGGGATTAGGCGAAGGACCTGAGGGCACGCCCACTGCGTGCCCAAGGGCACCGTGGCGGATTCATAGCTGTATTCTCATACGTTGCGATTTGCTTTTCGCTTCTTGGTAAGTCGTGCTTTCGCGTCACCGCCACTGCAACATGTAGCATGTGTCGAATTTTCATGTGCCATGGAATTCATCTGCGTAGCATAGCGAAGCTATCGTCATAACTTACCCATCATCTCTATATGAACTCTATTCTCTCTCCCCGCAATAGTCCACCAGGTCGTGGTACGATGGGGGTGGTGTACCGAGCAAAGCGAGTATCCGATGGAGATTGCTTTGCGTTGAAGGACATCAGCCTCGCCAGCCGCGTGTTGCTTCAGTCCCGCGGTATACTCAGCAAGTGTCTTTGCTTATGTTTCTTATTTGGGCTGGGCCTGTTCTGTTCAGGTTTGGACTACGCATTGCCACTTTGGTGCCAGAGTGTCCGGATCTTTTTTGTACCTCTAGTTTCCGTCCGATTCCAAGTCAGGCTTGGGCAATTGAGCCCCTCAGTATCGGGGATAATGGATCGATTTGAGCGCACGTTCAAATATCTAGTGACCTTCGGCCCAATCCGCCACGGTGCCTGGGTTGGGGATCCCAGGCTTGTTGGCTTCCCCTTGGTGCCTCTTGGGGGGACTCTTCGAGGCCTCTGCCCCTCTTGGGGCCTTCTTGTGGGCCTCTTGGGCTCCTCTTGAGGGCTCGGAGTCCGTCTTGGCACGTTCATGCTCGGGGGTTTCCTGTGTCGTCTTGGGTGCTCTTAGTCTTTAGACCGAAATGTGAGAAGGCTAAACTCATTGAAGCATGGAAGGTCTTCCAATGATGTTGGCCTTTTGGGGCGGCTCCCAGAGCCTGCACGACGGCTCAACAGGCCAGCGAGATCGCTCCAGAACTTTGACTACCAACTGCGCTCTCGAGGCCATTAGAACCTGTCACGTGCCAATTCCCAAGAGCGCCCAGCAGCGCCAGGACCTTATACTGGAGAATGTTTAGAATGCTCAGTGCAGAGACCACGAACTCCACTCAGGTTCTACGGCACGGCGACGGATTCGCAAGCAATGCGTCGCACGATGCGCACACATTCTAGAGCAACCGTGCTTGTGTGCGGGCATGACTGTCGCAGGTGAAATCTACACATGCGCATGGCTTTGTCTCTGTTTATTGATGTACGCGTGCCGCACGAGTTCGTTCATGTACGAGCGTTCGCATGCCAGCTGAAAATTGGTGTGAGTGGGAGTGAGACCAGAGTTCAGGCACTTAGGTGATTCGATCGCACACGGCAGGTGTTCAACGCAAGAGCAGGCGGAGTCTCAGAGGTTCCCGCGGCCCTGAGGAGATCAATACACGCAAGTTCAACAAGCAAGGTCAGGGCGACATCATCCGCCAGCTCGAGACCGCCCAGAGATTTCAGTGGCCGACCCTGGTGCCACCGGTCTTAAATGCGCGGGCGGGTCGTGTTGGGCGGGCCGCACGCGCAGGCGCCTGCCAGACAGACCTTGGCCCGTCTGGGCAGCGTGGCACCGACGCAAGGGAGGAAACGCATGGTGAGATGGCAGAGTCGGTGGCGGACGGGGGAGGAAAGGGGGGGGGAGGCGCAGGTCGGCGGCGCGCCGAGGGGGGAGGTGAGAGGGAGGACAGGCCTTCCCGGAAGGCGGCGGGGGCTTCCGCAGAGAAGCCCTCCGGCCTGTTCTGAGGAGCCCTTTGTGGCCTCGCAGCAGGATCGGGAGGCTTCTCGTAAGGCGGGAGGCTTTCGGAGCCGTCCGGGAAGGCCCGCCCCCTTCGCCTTCCGCCTGGGCGCGCCGCCGAGATGAGGAGGCGGGCGAGGAGGTGCAGAGCGCGGCTAGGGAGGTGCAGGGGCTTGGAGAAGGCGGTAGGCAGGGCTGGCGGCACGTAAGCGTAGCACGTGTGACGGTACAATCCTCCTCGGGGCATTGGGACAGCCTTCCACAGGCAAGTCTGGGCAAGACAGGTTTAAGACAGCATTACAATATACCATTGTACGCAAAGCGAAGCACGGGCCATCAAAGCAGATGACACCGCAACAGAAAGCCGAACTGTGAAGCGCCTCGCAAAGCGACTAATGGTAGACTCAACAGCTTCTCTGTGAACTCTCTTCATCCTGACCCCAGGCGAGCGAGGAACACAACCGCGCTTCCTGACACCGTGCCTAGTTCATCCTGTCAATCCCAGCGCTTTCGTGCGGGGGGCCCAGCCCGTACACTGTTTTAACTGTTGGCGCGCTTTTTGAAGGCCCCGAGATGCTCCCAAATGGCCCTGTGATGCTTCTGGAGCGCCGCCATTTTCGCCCACAATCGCCCAAAAGGCCCCGCAGGCGCCGCCAAGAGGCCTCCTGCAGGCCCCCCGCCGCTTCAGTCCATCCAGCCAGTCCGCTGAATCCGGGGAAGCGGCTGAGTTTGCCATGATGCGTCAGCGCCCCGTGGTGTTCCCAGAAGCATAGGGTTCCGAGATGGCTCCCCCTTCTGGGCCGATGTTTCAAGGCTCTGGGCGCGTGCTGGGCGGCGTTTCTCGCGCGCTTCTGGGAGGCCTCTTGGGTGCCTGTTGGGGGTCGTAGGTCCATCCTGGAGGATGGGGCGTCCAGCGGTCCGTTCACGCCGCGCTTTTCTGCTTTGTTTTGGGGCCGTCTTGGAGGCCTCCTGGGCCCCATGTTGGGAGCCTTGGGGGCCGTCTTGAAGCGGCTTCGGGGGCATTCGAACGATTTAGACACTCTTCGGATTTTAGAGGAGAGACTGTGAGCATCAAGCCAACGCCGAATGCTTTTCTATGACCTTGTGCTCTTGGGCCGTCCCAGAGGGTCTCGAGGACCGGCCTAGAGAGCCCACAGCGAGGCTCCTGGGCTCATTCTTGCACATGTTGGACGGGCAGTTTCCCAGTTCCGCTTCGGAGGCCTCGGGAAAGATCACGCGGTGAACCGCAAGAGGAAGCGCGCGAGAGAAGAGACCTTAGGACATTCCATTCATTGTCAACGGCACGGTGGCGGACACACGGGCATTCCTGAACAATCAAAGAGTGATGTGCTAGTCATTCTCATAGCAATAGTTCGGGTCGCGCTGGAATCACCTTGAGCATGTGCACAAGCGATGTCTCGAGGTAATGTGAACCTGTCTGCTTCCGCCCGTACATAATCTTACTTGCAAGTTTTTGTTTTCCCCCATTCTCCCAGCGTGCAGCATCCCTCCATGCGCTGTGAGGCGGAGCCTTTTTGGGGAGCCAAGGTGTCCGTGCTGGATTTCTGGATGGTGACGAAGGATCGGCTGATGTACTGTCTGATGCCGTTGCTCTCGGGCGGCAGCCTGGAGAGCCACATCATGACGGCCAAACAGGACAGCGGTGGGCTTGTCCCAGATCCCCTGTCCCATATGCCTTCCTCTTACGAGCGCGGTGTGTGCCACAGTTTATGGCCGTCATGCGTAGCCCTCTGAAGTCCTCGAGATCGTACTGGTGCAATCTGGCCAGGGTCCAGGGCTATAGCAAGGCGTAATCGTGTTTTTTTCAGCGATGGGGAGTGCCGAGGTCCCAGATCTAGCGAGAGAGTGTCGATGATGGATGGTGATGATGAGCAGGAGCAACTCTGCGTGATGATTGCAGTCACGACGTCGAGATGGGACGGACTCTGGTTTCTGGGCCGTTCCGTGCACCCAGGTCGGGGAATTTCGTATTGGCGGCGGCTCACCGTGGCCAGACACCGCAGTTTTTTGTATCGCGTCTTTCATGTTAGCTCGATGGCTGGATTGCGATGATACAGATGGCTGTCGTGGTGATGATGCTGGTACCGATTGTGGTAGCAGCGATGTTGGCATGATTGTGCAGGACACTGCGCACCTGCCTGAGCCGAACCACTACCACACAGCCAGAGCAATGTTGAGAGGCATCAGCTCTCCCGAACAGGCTTGCAGAGCAATCTCGAGGGCGTCGTGGGCCTTGGCCCGCTTTCGGGGCGCCTTGTTTGGGTCTTGCGCGGCTGTCGGGATGGGAGCTTTGGAGGGTCGCTTGGAACATTCTCAGACCTTGGCATGGCGCACCACACCTTGGACCATGAGCATATGCATACTTGCTGTAGTTCGAAAGACTGGCGACTGTCGTGGCACAGACGCCAACCAATCGTGTACCCGCCGACACGTGGGCCAGACACATTATTGTAGTAGGTGTTGGACTGGTACCTCGAAACTAGGAAGCACGCGCCGCGTATAACATGAAAACAGTTGTGTAACGAAATGTGCGTTTTTCGTTGGTGCACGAAGACATGTTGCCAGGGGTGACACGTGCTTCCGTTTTATACATGTACGGCGCGGGCCAAGGTTTTGCGGGTTGATTCGCCTATTGGCTCTGGGTTTGTTTGGTGCATCGTCATGCCACCCTTGGCCAATCATGAGGGGATTATTCGCGAAACGCGTGACAGGGTGTAGCGTCGAGTAACGATGTCTGGCGACATTGGGTGGACGAGTATTTACCTCCAAACCTCCAGTCTCGCAGCGCTGCGCAGCGCAAAACTCCTTTGCCCTCCCCTCAGCGAATCCCGAGCCCGATTCGTGCTGTTGGCTCTCCTGAGTCGAGGGAAACACGTAGATGCAACCAATTTTTGGAGATCCGCGCGTACCTCCAACAGTTGATGCTTGTGACGTTTTTCTTTCTCTAGTTCGGCTCTCTTGAAGCGTAGACTCGGGAACACACCCCCATGGGGGCTGTCTCGAAGCACTCCTATCGAGGATGGACGCCCGCCCAACGTATATCACCGAGTTTGGCCCCAATTGTTTCTCCTGCCGAAACTCCCACAAAGTCGGGGGCTGGGGTCGCCATGGCCCACGTTATCTGGGGTCCAGGGCTTCCGTCTTGGCGCACTCTTCAGTCTTCGTTGGGGTTTGCTGGCTGCTTTTGAGCGTTTTTGCTTTCCAGGCAATAGCGGGCGTGACTGGGAGGGGGGGGGAGGGGAGGGGGCGGTAGAGTCACGTTTCGCGCAAGCTCTGTCTGCCTATACTTAGGAATGGCCAACGACAGTTCTGATGGCAGATACCTCTAGGCATCTGCTACTCAGAGCACGCAGACCTGTAGGGACCTGCTACGGCAGAGCGCCGTCCTTCTCCTTCTCTCCTCTTCATGCTCTTCCTCCTTATCCTCCTTCCTCATCACTCCTCTTTCTCCTTACCCCCGTCGTCGTCCTCGTCGTCGTGGAGTTCCTGTTCTCGTCGTCTTCGTCGTCATTCTATCGCAAGGACAGAAAAAAGGGAGGAGGGACTTGAGAGGAGGGTGGGGGAGAGGGAGGCAGGGCCAGTCCAACACAGCCTCCTTGATTACAGTTCTGTTGTCGATCTGTTCTCTGGGAGCAGTCTGGGCGCTCCAGGGCCCTGGGCCCGAGACGGGAAATGGCCTCGTCGTCGTCGTCGTCCTCGTTCTCCTCGCCTCGCTGTTCTCGTCTTCTTTGCATTCCTATCCAAACACGTTGTGGCACTCGCGGGCCACTGTGGTGCGTGCAGGCGCACGCTCTGCCTTCACCCAGCGGCTTGGCCCCTGCTTTCTGCCTCGCCGGGCAGATTGAACCGAATTCCACGGTACCTTTCTCCTGCGTGCTTCTTACCGGGAAGTTGTACACACGTGACGTGGCCTTGGGCGTGAGCTGGATACACACGTTGCCGCATGTCGTTCCAGGCTTCGGCCCTCGGGCGGCTTAACACGCCAGCCATCCGCACGTGTGTCCAGCAACTGGCCTCCGCATGCTCCGCATGGGATTCCAACCGCGTGTGTTTGCAGCCTCCCGGGTTGCTTAGGGCACCCGGCTTTACATTCTTTGTGTTTGAAAGGGCGCTCTGCACTGCTGGTAAGGTTGAGTGGGAAGTGGCCAACGTGTATTTATGGGCTTGCGCCATTCCGCACCCCCCCAGTGCGCCCCAGCGAAATGGTGCGCACGTTGTTAATGTCGCGAAGAGACGAACCTTGCAACGCAAGAAGTAGGAATCTGATGACAAGAAGAGGAGTATGAGGAAGGGGAAACGGAGGACGACGTCGACGAGGCCATTTACTCCTTCGGGCCCAGGGGCGCCCATACACCTCCCAGAACACGAATGGATAACATAAGTGGAATCACACAGGTCGTTTCGGCTTGGCCCCGACTGCCTCACCCCTTTCTTCCTTTCGACTCCCTCCTGCATTCTTCTGTCCTTGCGTGAAGCACTTTGCAATGCAATGAGAGGGAGGAGGAGGACGACGAGAGGAGGAAGGAGGGAGAGGAGGAGGAAACCGAGGAGGAAACCGAGGAGGAAACCGAATACATATATATATATATATATATATATATATATATTCCACTTATATTTTTGCAAGCCCGGGCGGGGGGAAAACCCGTCCCCCCCAACAAAAAACCGGACTCCCGGGATCTAGGGCTTTGGGACCCTCCGGACGGGCTTCGAAGCGGTCCCCGGGCATCGCAGGGCGTTTTGTCAAGCCTTCCCAGCACACCTAAGGGCGATCAGGGGGGTCATCGGAGACGTCCCAGAGACCCCCAAAACAGCACAAGAGCGCTCCAGGACGGCCCCAAAGAGGCCTCCAAGAGCACTCCCCAGAAGGCCCCCCGAGGCAAAAATCATTGATTTTCTTTTGGCTTTTGGTGAATTTTAGGGTTCTCCTCTTTTCGGCTTCCCGACGCTCCAAGACGGCGGTCTTCTGGGCGTCCGAAGCCGCCTGGGAGGCTCCCAAATCGCCCCACAACCATCTGAAAGGGCTTCCAGCCAGTCCAAGATAGCCCCAAAACGGTACAACACGGGTCCAAGATGGCCTTCAGAGAGCCTCCGAAGCATTCCAAATCGTGACCCGGTCGTTCAGGGAGACCGCGGTTGGAGGCAGGGTGGCCCGAGGAAGCCCCCGGAGGTCCCCAGAACACGCCCAGGAGGCCTCCAGAAGGCCTTAAGAAAGCCTGAAACAACTTCTGTGAGGCCACCAGAGGCTCTCCAAGGAGGAGCCTCCGCAAAAAAGAGCTGAGGAGGATTTGGAGAACGCGCAGGGTATAGCGAAAATATGGAAAAACAAACATGGAGGAAGGATAACGAATCACATTATCATAGCGGCGATGCCGGAAAAGGCAACAAGGAATTATCGCTAAATTGTCGGCTTGACCGTCCTGCTATTCCGCCTGCATACCAAACTTTAAGGACCAAGGTGCATGGCGCGAAGCGCCACTGCAGTCTTGTGTATGTATGTGTATATATATACATATATATATATATATATATATATCTATATATATGCCTCACACCGTTCCTGGTCCAGGATGTGTCTGGGTTGGATTGGTGAGAGGTGACCAGTTTGCGTCCTCCTGCTTCAAGGGGCCGCCACAAACGAGCTGGCAAGCTGGCACGCACGCAGGCTGGGTTGGAATCGATTTTGAGATTCCGACGATCCAGCGCGGCCCGACACTCGCATGGTGCCGTTGTGCATCATGGCGCCGTGGATCTGAAATCCGATCCGATTCGATTTCGGCTCCGTGCAGATGCGGCCGATTCGACGCCCGCCGCGGTCCAGTTCAATCTCCCGACCCGATGCCGACCGACCCTGCGCAGCTTGCTGTCTCGTTTTGTCCAGAGCAAAGCGCGCTGCCTTGGAAGTACAAGAAACTGGAGATGCACTTTCGGAAGTCCGCGCGGATTTCTTGGCTTGGCGCTGGAACTCCCTCGCTGGAGGCCGCCAGGGGGTCCAGTGCCGACCCAGGAAATCTGCGCGAACTTCCGGGAGGCTCTGTCCGTGCCGTTTTGTCTTGTTCCATCCCTGCGAGGACGGCGAGCCCATTTCCTTTGATCAGGTCGAGGAGTGGTACGTCCAGGCGCTCCACGGCCTGAGCTACATGCACTGGCGGGGCGTGCTGCATCGAGACGTCAAGCCCGACAACCTGCTCACGGAGGGCGACCATGGGACCCGCTGTTTCAGACTCTGCTGCGAGCGCGATTCATCTGCCGCTCTGTCGGATATACCCAGACCTCCTCTCGTCGGCCTCTGGGAGCCCTCACCAAGCCCCACAGCCGTGCAGAAACGGCTGAAGATGAAAAGCCAGTCCTGGGGGGAAGGGTCCAGACCTCTAGGTTTCCCTGGCCCAGTGTGGCCCCAAGTTTTATAGGGAGGCCGGGGTGGCCTCCAGAGCACCCCAGGTGCCCCAGGGGGCCCAGCATGGCTGGACAAGGTGAGAGTCCTTTTCGATCCGAGCGATCCGATTTTGGCGGGCCCAGGGCGGTTCGATTCCGACATTCCGACGGTCTGGTGCGGACTCATGCTCGCAGGGCGCTGTTGTGCATCTTTGCGTCTTTGCGCGGTCGATCCGCTTCGATTCCCACTCCGTGCCGGTGCGGCCCCATCCGACGCACATTCCGGTCTAATCAGATTTGCTGGCTCGGCGTTGGATGATTCCGCCCATCTCGCCACCGCGCCTGGGTTGAGGGCCAGAGGCCCAGGTTTTTTTGGATGCCTCTCTGGGGCCTTTTGGAGTCCTTTGGAAGGGCTCCTTGCGTTTCTTGGGATCTTCTGGTGGCCTCTTGGAGGCCAAGGGGGGCCGCCGTTTCCGATTCTGCTGCGCGCGAATCTACCCAGACCTCCGCTTGCAGTAGAAAAATCGACGGAAGGTTCAAAAACGACTGGGGTTCAAGGGGGTACAGGCCAGGGAGGTGGGAGTCAGGAGGTGCTTTTTCTCAGTCGGCGGTCCCTTGGCCCCCCTCCTGCCATCCCAGTCCCCCAACGTTGTGTGATCGTTTCGCGACGTGGACCCCCATAGATCTGGACCCCTTCCACAGTGACTGGCTTTTCATCCTGAGCGGTCCTTGACGGTCCCGAGGCCCAGTAAGGGCTCCCCGAGACCAAACATATTGAAAACTTGCTCGTCGTGATTCTTTCACGACGCGCGGGGATCTGGGCCTGGTGTCCTTCTTGGACCCCGAGGGCTCGGCAATGGCTGCCCCAGCCAGGCTCCTGCTCTCAGAGTCGCGGTCTGGCCAGCTCGCGGTCTACTCGGATGGACGTGCCGCGTTATCTCTGTCGGCTCGCGCGCAGCTTTTCCTGCGAGAGCCCAGCTGCCGAGAGCCAGGCTCGCCGGGCAATCCGAGGCGCCCGTGAGCTGCACGCGTGGCAGAATATGCTTGCTGGTGGCCCGGCTCCACAGAGCAGACTCCTGGCGTCTTGGAGGCTCGGAGCCTGCGCACCTCGATTGTCGGAGAACTGGAGGTCCGCGCGAGAATCCAGCCTCGGCGCTGAAACCTCCTCCTGGCGCGCGCAGCGCGCCAGCACGGCGCAACACACAGACCACACAGGAGCACGGCAGAACCCACAGGAACACGGCAGAACAGCTAGGAGCACGGCAGAACACACAGGAGCACGACAGATCACACAGGAGCACGGCAGAACACACAGGAGCACGGCAGATCACACAGAACATACTCGAGCACGGCAGAACACACAGGAGCACGGCAGAACACAGGAGCACGGCAGAACACACAGGACACATTTTTTTCGTCAGCGGCGAGGCGGCGAACTCCGCTCCAGCGAGAAGCCAGATAGGGGCACTAATTAGCGAATTGGCCGGAGAGCAAAGAGGGAAGAGGGGACGGCCGAGAGTAAGCAGGGACGCTCAGATGCCGAAGTGTTCGACGATGAGCAGCCCAGGGGGCAGCAGCAGCCAGGCGCGCAGGGCCAGAGCGCGGTGGGCGGCCGTGGCAAGGGTGGCACGCACAGGACACACAGGAGCATGGCAGAACGCATAGAGCACGGCAGAACACACAGGAGCGCAGGAACACAGGAAAACTGCAGATCACAGACCACACCAGAGCGGGGCGGAAAACAAGCAGGAGCATGGCAGAACACACAGGAACACAGGAACACATGAGTACGGCAGAACAGCACGTAACACACAGGAGCACAGCAGAACACACACACACAGGAGCACGGCAGAACACGCAGGAGCACGGGAACACACAGGAGCACGGCAAGACGCATAGAACACACAGGGGCACGGCAGCACACACACACACAGGAGCACGGCAGAACAAACGGGAGCACGGGACGCGACATCGCCCTCCGCATTCCTTCCCGTGCTCGCCCTCGTTCTCTTCGTCCTCATCCTTGTGTTTCTCTTCCTCCTCGTTGTCCCCGTGCTTCTCCTTGCTATCATCACGTTCTCCACGTCGTCCTCGTCGTCGCCTTCTCGTCGCCCTCGCCTGCCTTATCTTGTTCTTCGCCCAAATAAGCCCATTGTATACTAAAGCGGCGCTTCCCGTTCTTGTCCGATCAGGTTCCCCAAAATGGGTTCCGCCTGAGACATCCTCGCCAAATCGCGATTCTGGGGGGTCGTATCTTAAGATGTCTTCTGCTACACATGAGCTTTTCGCCCGAGACTCCTCGGATAATGGGGATGCGGAAACCGCTGTTTTAATCTTCTCACCTTCAATACTTGCCCTTTCGCTTGAGAGTTCTTCGAACAAACATTGGATGTGCCAAGAGCTCCTTGCAGGCATATTTTCGGAGCGCTCTCGGATGACTTCCAAGATGGCCCAAACCGCGAAATTATTGACAACCCGTGGATTGTCAACATGTCGTTTAACAATCAGCGTTTTGCTCGATACATCCCCCCCTGACAATGCCTTCGAGCATGCCCTCGAAACCATAAGATATAATGGACATGCCGATGCAGGTTCGTGTATGTAGGGTTCGGGTCTGGGAACCTATTGTGTGTTTTCAACATTTTAGGGCTTCGTCTGAACTTGCTTGGATAGTGAGCTCCACTGAGATCCCCGGGGACGTTCGGGGAAAGTGCCTGCGTTACAGTTGATCTTGCTGCTGGTGGTTGTCTTGCCAAGTTCGCTCAGGACATGTTTCAATTTGCCTTCGGACGGGTCTTCCAACAAAATGGAACAATGCCAGTGTGTTTTTCAACATTGTGGTTTTTTGCCTGAACTTGCCCGGGTTGTGAACTCCACCTGGTACTCCCCGTGGACGCTCGGGAAGAGCGCCTATGCTATAGTCGATCTTGATGTTGGTGCATGTTCTTGCCAAACTCTTCGGTTTCACGCGCTTCCTTTTCATGTCAGGAACGGTTGCTCAATCTATGTGTTTCGCTTGATACTTTTTCCCAAAAACTGAGATGTTCGCAATATTGTTTTCGCAAAAACAGGCGCTTCGCCTGCGACAACTCCCAGCACACGAAAGTAGCGAATTTGGCCTGTGCATGAACAATGAGCGTTTCGCCTGAGGCATCCTCGAGCAAATAAGATGTCGACAGAGGTGTTTTAGTACCTCGTATGCTAAACACGATGTTTTCGCTAGGGACATCCTCAGGCAATGAGCAGGAACACGGTAGACCAACACGACCAGCACGGCAGACTAGGCCTCGTTTCGTTGGGGACATCTTCAAAACAACGATATTCTCTCAACCTCGTTTTGCCATCATTTTTGATTTGCTTCGAGAGATTCTGAAACAAGAGCTCCCAAATTACCTCAAGATGGCTCCAAGAGCGCCTTGAATACTACCGACAATGGCGATTTCGCTAGGGACATCCTAAAACCATGACTAATGCGATAACATCGACTTGAGTCATGCTGGTCTATCATCGTCGTGGAATTGCTCTCGAAAAGGCTTCAAGACGGCCGATTTTTTTTTTTTTTTTTTTTTTTTTTTTTATTTTATTTTTTTTAATTATTTTTTTAAGTAACGATTTCGCTAGAGGCATCCCCAAACAAGAGATGTGTCTAGCATCGCATTGGAATTATTGTTGAGGACATCTCAAGGCGGGTCTGAGGAGCCGGACAGGTTTCTGGACAATTTCCGTTTCGTTCGAGACGTCCTCGAGAAATCGGCTTCAGAGGGGACTCCGAATCGGCATTGTCTGGGAATCGCTCCCAGAGGGTTTTCGAACGGCTCAAAGGAGGCCCACAAGATGCCGCGGAGGGCCCCAAGAGCGCCCAAGAGCGCCCCAAGAGGGCCCCAAGAGGGCCCCAAGAGGAGGGCCCCAAGAGACCCCCAAAAGCGTTCCAGGAGGCATCCAGGCAGCTCACAAGAACCCCACGACGGCCCAAGACGGGCCAAGAGGGCCCCAAGAGACTCCCAGGAGCGCCCCAGGAGGCCCCCAAACAGCCCAAGAAGACCCCATTACGGCCCAAGATGGCGTCGAGACGACCCAACAAAGCTCCTAAAGAACCCCACACCGCGCCCAGACAACCCAAGAAAACCCCAGAAGCCCACAAGAGGACCCGAGAGCGTTTCAAGAAGCCCCCAACAGGTCCCAAGACAAGCCCTTGCGGCGCCAGGAGCCCCCAGGGTAGCCCGACAGGGTCACCAGGACCCTCTCCTGATTCAACCAGCTCGGCAGAGAAGCTCAAACGGGTGCCAGGGCAGGGAGAGCGCAGCACTGCGGGGTGCCTCCCGCCTCGCAGCACGGCCCTCGCTCGCAGGGCCGTGCTCAAGATCGGGGACATGGGCAGCGTGCGGGAGCTCCCAGGGCAAGGCCCTGCGCGGCTGGCCTGGCCTTCTCTCGCTCTCCCCCTCCCCTCGGCTGTCCATCCCTCTCGCCTCTGCCCGCGTCCTGCCCCTGTCCCTGCTCTCTCCACGCTGCTGCCCCCGTGCGCCTCAGCACTGCAGCCACGACCGTGGCGCCGAAGCAAGAGCCACCCGGGGTCTCCGGAGGTGCTCCGGTCTTCGGAACGTTTCTCTGGTCGAGGTCGAGGAAGATATCCGTGGCCCAGGCTCGCCAGGCAAGAAAAGCCCTTCTGTTCAGTATTTGGCGCTCCTCGTGGTCGCACGACGGCTGTCCCTCGTGGCCCGACCCCGTCTATCTTCTGGCTCCCTCTCCCCTCTCTCTTCTCCCTCCCCTGCGTCCCAGCATGCCAGCATGGACTCGCTTCTCTCCCCCCCCCCTCTCTCCCTCCCTGTCACCGGCATCCCTCCCTTCCTGCTGGCTTGCTGGCCTCCCTCGCTCATCCACTCCCTCACTCCTCCCGCCCTCCTCCGACAGAGCGACACGAACCCAAACTTCCGGAGGTCCACGCAGACTTCTTGGATCCGCGCTGGGCCTCCCTCGCTGGCGCGTGGAGCGCGCCAGGGGCGGCGCCGGAGGCGCCTCCAGGAGGGCCCAGCGCCGTTGCGAGGAATCCGCGCGGGCTTCCGAATGCTTGCCTTTATAGCTTGCACGAGGATGAAGAGCATCCCCTAGCTTTGGAGGGGAGCTCTTTTCTTCGTGTTTGGGATCTCCGTCTTACGCTAGTCCTCGCTTTGGGTATCTCAATGGAGCGTTGGGCCATCGGCGAAGGAGTTCGTGTTCTTGACCCCCGTTCTTGCGTCCATTCTTCGACTTTCCGTTTTTCTTGCTCTGTTCTGGACTCTCCTCCCTCGTTTGGCCTTTGCTCTGGATCTCTCCTCCTCCACCCCAGTCGCCGATCCTTCCTGCCCGAGCCCGTCCTGCGACAGCACATGAGGCGGCTTGTACGGGGTGGAGTAGGGCACATCGTGGCCAGGCCTGGCAGAGTAGTCCAAGGTCAAGTCGTGAGATTTGGGGTCCAGATTCTGAAGCCATAGCAACGCCTGGGGTCTGGGGCCCTGTGGAGGAGGAAGCTGATGCCCCCGCACGACGTCTTACTCGATCACCTCGAAGAAGACCAAGCGGCGTAAACCAACTTTCGGAGGCCCGCGTGAAGTTCTTGGATCGGCGCTGGATACCCTCGCGGCGCCTTCGGCTCCGAACCCTGACGCGCTCCGCGCGCCGGGTAAGGGGGGCCAGGCTCCGATCCAAGAAACAAGTTGGGCGAAACACGGAACGTATAACTCTGGTGCAGTCTTTTGTCCGTCAGTATCGCCCAGACAATCCGTCAATGACATCGGTCCTCGACTTTCGCTTCCCCCCTCTATGTGGTGAACACGGTCAAGGCATGGCTTGTTTCGATTCCTCCGATTCGTTTCGATTCGATTTCGAAGGTTGCGATTCCGATTCGATTTGATTTCGGAATTTGATTTGAGCTCCGATTTCTCAATTGAGACCTACGAGCCTGCATGTTGCCGCCGATTTGACTCTCCCTACTCGGCTGCCGATTTCCGACGATCCGAGTCATTTCGATCGCCGATCCGACCGATCCGATTCTGGGCTCTCCTGCCAAGGCCCTTGGCTCCTTATTCTTCCTCCTCCTCCTCGCTTCTCTCTGCCTCCCTCCTCTTCATCTCTCTTTCCATTACTGCTCAGCAGGGCCGACCACCTGTTTGGGTTTGCTCCGCGACGCTCCTCTCTCGTATTCTCCGCGCTCTCCTCTCGGCAGGGAGGACGGGCGGGCGTCAGGCTCTTGTCAGCGTGAGCGGTCAGCTGCGGACGACGGCGGTGATCGTGTCGGCGATGATGAGAGCTGGAACATCGGCGCAGCGAAGAGATCCCTTCGATCTCCCCCCCCTCCATCTCGCGAGAATCTTCAGCGGATTCGGGAAGGCCGTCTCCCAGACCAAAAGGGCCCCTGAAGAGCCACGGTCGCTCGAGGGGAGGGCGCTGCCAGGCGTGATGCCAGCCTCCGTGGCTCGACGCGAGGCTGATTTCGTGACCACACTGGTGGCTATCAGCGAATTCCAGCGAATTCCCTTCGTGCTCACCCCTTGTCTCCTCCCCGCCTCCATGGGTTAATTTCGATGGGGTCAACCCGATTCGATATCGACTCGGGACGGCGTTTCGGATGCCAAACGTGACGACTCACCCGCCGCCTGAACTTGTTCGAGCCGCTGGATGTCTGGCGCGAGGATGGCGGCCTTCCGAGAAGCCTGCAGGGCTCTAAGAGGGCACGGGTCGTAGAAGCCCCTCCCGGCTTCTAAGAAGCCTTCTTGTAGGCCTTCGGGTCTTTCGAAGAATACGACGCCTCCGACTGCCTCCCTCGCGCCACCCCCTTTTGCGCGCCGCCACGTGCCGGCGGTGATTCAATGTCGATTCTGGCTTACTCGACCCGATCCGATTCCAATGTGCCGACGATCCGATGCGGCTCAATGTTTGAATTTCGCTGTCGTGCATCCTGGCCCAGCCGAGCCGACTCGATTCCGATTCCGTGCCAAGGCGGGCCGATCGGATAGAGGTTGCGATCCAATTTTCCGATTCGATGCTGCAGGATTTTGGAAGGCGACGGTCAGGGGCATCGAGGGGGGGCTCAGGGGGGGAAATGTATCGACCCCCAAACGCCCATTCTTCGCACATAGAGGCCTGATAGCCCACTCCGCCCAGGAACGTGCGGTTTCGCGATCGATCGGCGATGCTTTGCCGATTCCAGGTCGATGTTCTCCCCCCCTACCTTATGATGTTCCAAGCTATTTTAGCCGTGATCACCAGAAATAATTTCGAGCACAAAAGTACCGGAACTCGAGGGTTTCACGTGCCGGGCCCTGGGAGACACTCGTCCGACACTGTTTCGACACTCTTTCGACACTCTTTCGACACTTTTCCGGGTGCTCGAAATTATTTCTGGGATGTGGTTTTTTAAGTACGATGGGAGCAACATAACCCTTAGCCAGTCCAGCCCCTATGGTTCCTCCTCGGACGGATGCCTGGGGGTGCTGCCGCTGCCGAGGCCCCCACCCGTCGCCGGACACGTGGGTGCCTGCGGCGGTGACCACACCGGGCTACGCCGGCCCGGAGGCGCACACCCAGGCGGTGTACTACAGGCGGCGCGCGCCCGCGATTCGACCTCTTCTGCTCCAGGCTGGAACGCTCCACGCGGCCGGGGAACGTGGAGCCGCGATCCTCGAGGGCGATGCGCGGTCGGGGAGCCACGATCGCTCAATTTCAGAACGATCCGCGCGGTGCTGCGGCGTGCCCCCGCGGTTCGAGTTGTTCTGCTCTCGGGCGAGCTTGCGGCGTCATCGCGTTGCGCTGGTCTGATCCGACGCGCCTCGTGTCGAGACGCACCGCCCGCTCGCCCCCTCACAGGGAAGCCGGGACAAGTTGCCGGTGCCAGCCCTTCAGTCGTCCCGTCGGGAGGATCGAAATGAGTACGAAGGGTGGTGAAGACCAACGGCAGCGCTTGCGAGCTTCCGGCGTCGTACTCGCTGTCGGCGTCGCCGCTGACGTCGCCCACTCGAAACGAAAGTCGCCTGCTCAACAGCGACCGATGTCGGTTTTTTGAACGAACTTAGGCCATCTCGGACTCCTCCTGGCCCCACTTACATGCATTTTGGGGCCCTCTTTGCCCGTTCTGGGGCCCTTCGGCTTCGAGACAAGTCACGCGACCCGAAACGGGAGCGCCCGGGTGCGCCCAGGAATCTCGGGCCTGTGAGCCATGTACGGAAATATGAAGCACCCCGCAGTTGTGGATTAGAGTGAGGGGGTAAGAGGGCGGCGGGGTCGTTGGCAGTCTGCGAAGCTCTGAAGAAGCCCGCCGCAGCCGCCGGTTCCTCCCCCCATTACAAAACGAGCCCGCCGTTGTCGCCGATTTTTTCGTCAAAATAATGTGCTTGGCTCGCGGATGGGTCGCGGGCGACGCAGCAACAATCCGCATTGTGGACCCCCACTTCAGCCACGCCAGGGACAGTGAATGACTTCAGCCCGAATGATTCCAGCCCCCTCACTTTGATTTTTGAGTATTCAACGCAGAGAACTCGAAAGGACCTGAGGACACTCCACTTCGTGCCGCGAGGCACGGTGCCAGATTGTTGCATGCTTTTCTTTGCTCGACCGGCACAGTGCCTTGTCGGTGCTAGTGCATCGTCCGCAAACGCGGGGGTGACAGGTCTCGCTCTTGCCAGTGCAGTCGAAACTTGGGAGCAAAGACCGCTTTCGTTCATGAAGGGGCTCGGGCTGGGCATTCCTCTGGTCATTTGGTCCTTTCTCAGGCTCTTCATCTGCAGGACTCTGGCTGCAGCCCAGTATCGTCCTCCCTCCCCGACCTTGACAAGAAGCCGCGCCCAGCGGGTCTGACCTCTGGTCGGTCGGCGCCACCTTCTACGAGGCCGGCTCTCTGGGGCTCTTCTTCTCCCCCCGCTCGGCTGTTGCCAAGGGTTGCTTTGTCCCAAGGTGCCCCCAGCTTTGCGCCTTGGGTCTCGTGATGGAGTTCCCTGGAGGCTATCTGGGCCTACGTGGAAATTCTGGGGACACCTTAGGCCAGCTCCCGTCCAGCAGCAGCAGCGGCTGCTGCTGCTGCTGCTGCTCATCTTTTTCGTCACCCCTTCCTCCGTCGCATTTTCTCTTGTGGAGCTTGTGCGTTCATACCCTGGTTCCAAGAAGTGCAGAGTCGCTGCCCAAGTAGTCGCGAGTTTGCAGGCTCGTAAGTCTGTGCCTCCCCATCCTCATCCTTTTCCTCGGCTTCGTCGTTTGCGTCGTCATCGTCGTCTTCTTCATCCATTCTTTTCGTCTCTTCGGTTAGCTACGCAGTAATTCACCAGTGGTGGTTAGGCGATGCAAGGGTAAGCGCAGTACATGCACTGATATGCTAGCGTGCCAGCAGGGGTCGGAAACATGATCGACCCACGAATCCGGAAAGCGATTTATACGTGCGAGATTTGGGAAGATTTCAATATAGCTTAGTTGGGCGTTTAACCATGACAATGCTGAGTCTATCTCTGGTGATGATGCAATGCCATGAGCTGTGCTGCGCTATGCCGTGCTGAATTGTGTTGTCTAATGTTGTGTTGAATTGTGCTGTAACTCGATCGATGCGTTGTGTATCAACTCGCCCTTGGAGTCCGAATCCTGACCGACCTGACATGTTTTTTTTGCTCCAGCTGCCAAACGCATTTCTCACCCACAGCTGGCTGCATTCGAAACGTGCGGGGCGCTCACCAGCTTGAGCTCAATATCCGATTCAGTTCCGAAGTGGGACGAGCCGATAGGGGGCGAATGGTTGCGCCAGGGGACGGTGCAGGGGCGCTCCTTGGGATGCGCCAGGGAACGTGTCAGGGAGCGTGCCAGGGGACGTTCGACGGGATGCGCCAAGTGACGTGCTCTGGGACATGCTAGGGGACTTCCCAAGGGACGTGCCAGGGATGCGCCACAGAACGTGTCAGGGGACGCGCCAGAAGACGAGCCAGGTGGCGCGCTAGCGGGCGGGTCAGAGGACGTGCCAGGGCATGCGCAGCGCGACATGCCAGAGAAGTGCCAGGGGACGCGCCAGTGGATGCACCATGGGATGTGCCAGGGAACGTTTCATGGGGCGTGCCAAATGACGTGCCAATGGACGTGACATGGGACGCGACATCGAGGACGCCCCAGGGGACGTTCAAGGGGGCGTGACATGATACGCGTCAGGGGCGAGCAAGGCGACGTGCCAAGGGACCTGCCGCAGGCGTGCCACAGGACGCGGACGTGCCAAGCGACGTGTTTGGGGGCATGCGAGGGGGCCCGCCGCAGACGTGCCAGGGGACGCGCCAAGGTCCGTATTGGGAACCGTGCCAGCGGCCGTGCCAGCGGACGTGCCAGCGGACGTGCCAGCGGACGTACCACGGGAGGTGTCGTGGAACGGGCCAGGGGGACGACGGAGACAGGGCAGGGACCCAAGGCGAGGGGCAGGGGAAAAGAGGATGGGACGACTAAGCGCTACGGCAGGTTTGCGCCGCGTCGACGTGGCGGCGACCGCTCAAGGTTCAACGCCGCCAACGATTTGGACTCGGCCTGCATCGGACTATCTGCGCAATTGGAAATTAGGTCTGCCGTGGGGGCGAATTCAGAGAATCGCGCCTCGCGCGTCGGTGTCCGGGCCAGAGCGGCTGCCCTTCTCCAGGGGGGGGGGCGGCGCGGGGGCGCGAGAGCGCGCGCGTCGCGCATCGCGGGGCGCGATGCGTGAAGTTAGGTGACCCAGGAAAGCACCGGTCGTTCAAAGTCGAGCGTTCCGCGCGGTGTGGCGAACCAGCGCCGAGGTCATTGCGATGTTTGCCGTGCCTGCTGCCCCTCCCTTTGTCGTTGCCCCCCTGGCTTTCGGGTCACAGCTCGGCTCCCTGGCGGCCGTTCGGGACGATGCGGGCACCCCGGGAACGCTCTCTGCGAGGCGCAACCGCTAGAGGGCATCCCACGGCTCGAAAGCCGACGGCAGCCGGCGAAAATGCCCGAGAGCATCGGGAGGCCTCCGGGGCCCTTATCCAGACCCGAGAGGCTCCCGAACAGAAAACAGAGGCACGCGCCCCGCGGAGCCGCGGAGCCTTCCCCCCCCCACCGGCCGCGCGGTCAGGGGGGCTGCGCCGGCGGCCAGCTGCCAGGCCTGCACTGCAACGGCGTGAACATAAACTTTCGGAGATCCGCGTCGCGCGGATTGCTCGGATCGTCGCTGCGCCCCCCTGGCGGCGCCTCATGCGCCGCCCCTGGTGCGCTCCGCCCTCCAGTGAGGGTGTCCAGCACCCATCCAAGCAAGCCGAGCGGACCTCTGAACATGTGTGCATGCTGTTTTTGTTCCGCTACGCCTGCGATTCTCGATGAAACGCAAACATGGATCACGGCGCGTGGATTAGCGACCGGTCCCGCTGCCGTACAGCATCAACGCGCTCCGTCGCCAAATCGGGCGGCGCTGGCTTCACACGCGCCAGGCTCGCGGATCCGTCATCCATGGTAGCGTCTGCCCGAGATCTGATTCGAATCGATTCGATTCGCCAGTTGGCGCCGCGATTTCGATGCGATTTGATTCGGTTCGGATTCACTGGCCTCGACAGGGGCCAGCCTGAGCCTGAGCATAGTTCGGAAATCCAGTTTCGCTTGGGCGGCTGCCCGGCGATTCGATTCGGCGAGGTCAGATTCGCGGTTTTGCGATGTGATTGGGGATTCCGCTGCCAGGTCTTCACCCTGGAGCCGCTGGTCCCGGCGCCTGACGACCCGGACACTCCAGAGACGGCGACCGCTGGCCATGAAAGAACCCCACCTCCAGCCGGGACAGATTTGTTTCACAGGTTTTATATTTTTCTCGAGATCCGGGGCTGATAAGACACGCCTCGGCATGCAACACCGACCGCGGGTGCATGGCCTCTTTCTGGGAACCCCATGTGCGAGGTCAAGACGGCGGATGCCTGGGGTCCCGAGGGGTACGGGCGGGTCCTGATGTGCGCGTCGGCCCCGCAGGGGCGAAGCGCGCGCTACCAGGTGTTTTACAAGGCGCTTCGCCTTCACCGTCCGCCCACTCCAGGTCTCGCTGGACGAGGCGAAGACGGCTCCATTGCGGCATGAGCACATGCAGCAAATCAGACGAGATCCCCTGCAGGTGTGTTTTGTTGTTTTTGTCTGCGCTCCACTGCTGTTCCCAACCCATAGCCCGTTAGGCTCAGGCATGCCGCGTGGCTGATCGATAAAGGATTTGCCGTTTGGTCGTCGTCCCGTTGTCAATACCGACGGATCAGTGATATGGACGTTGGCTCTCTGGGCCCTGATTTACTATCCACACCAGGAGGCCAGAAATAGCCCGAACACTGCCCAAGATCAACTAACAACGGCCCGAACGCTGCCTAAAAAGATCCAAGCAGGAACCCATGCGGCTCAGGCGGGCGTTGAACGGCCGAAGCGACAGCACGTCCGTGTTGGGCCGTAACTCCGTCGGAATGCCATCGGAAATCGGGCTGGTTTGGGGCCGGTTTGGGTTTTGTTTTGGGGCCCACTTGGAGACGTGGAGCGTCCAAACTTGATCTTGGATCGAGTCCAAAATCGACGTCGAAGTTAGCGCGCCGACACATCGAGCCCGAAAACGTACAAACGGCGTCTGGGCGGCCTCTGGCGAAGCGAGAGTCTTGAACATCGAAAGGTTTCTTGTAGTTTTGACGTGTCCAAGTTGTAGGCGAAGTGGGGCGCAAGAGGCACTCTCGAGGTCCCCGGCAGCGCATATGGGAGGTGAAGAAGGGGTGCCCGACGGGGGCCACACGGAGGCCTCTTGTGGGGCCTCTTGGGACGGAGGGCTCGAAAAGTTTGTTCGGGCTCCTCCTGTTGGGCCCCTCCGCCGCCCTGGTGGCCTCTTGGGTCGCCTTGGGGCCCTCTTGGACAATATTGGGGCCTTTGTGGCGGCCTTCTGGGCCGTCTTGGGGCGATCTTTGAGCCCTCCTGGGCCGTCTTGGAGCCCTGTTGGGCCGTCTTGGGGCCCACTTGGGTCGTCTTGGGGCCCCCTTGGCGGCCTCTTTGGCCGCCACGTCCGTCTTCCGGTAGAAAACGGGGCGGTTCTAGGCTGTTTTGTGTTTGTCTTCGGGCCCAAGTGGGGCCCCGAATCTTCCAAAAGGGATCCTGGAACGCGCCCCAAAACGGTGTCCACATTTGAAAGGTGAACAGTATCCCAGACGAGCCCGAAAGGCAATCGTAAGAAACGTCCGGGCCACCCCCGGGGACGCGAACGTCGCAACACAAATAACATCTGCTGTGCTTTCCGATATGACAGCTTTTCGGTGAGAGCGGGCCACAAAGGCGCTCTCGAGCCCCGGGAGCAGATTTTTGATGCCAAGAAGGGGCCCCGACGGTGCCGAAATGGAGCCAAAATGCGTCCCAGACGCGTCCTCAGAACGATCTGAAAATCGAGCTCGTCTTGGAAGCCGTCTTGGAGGCGTCTTGGGGACCGAAAAGGGGCTTGGGCGCAGCGGGGCGGCGGAATGGCGGAGGCCTCCTGGGGAGGGGTTAGGGGGGGAGGACTAAAGCACTACCAGGAGCCCTCGCAGTCAAATCCCACGCGCCCCTCAGCCCGGTGGGCGGGCGGATGTGCGCGTCGGCCCCGCAGGGGCGAAGCGCGCGCTACCAGATGCTACCCAAGAGGCTTGCGCCATTCCGCCGACACCCAGAAGAGGCGGGGAGTCCGCGGTTGAGGCGTCGTGACTCCTGTGGGCGTCTTGGGAACTGTTTTAGGCCTTGCGGAGCCTCTCGGAGGCAGTTTTGGAGGAACCTCTTTGGGGTCTCCTGGGGGCCTCTTGGGGCTTATGTGGGGCTTCTTTTGGGCCGCTTGGGGTTTCTTCTTGGGGCCTTGGCAGGGAGGAATGATCGAATGTTCGGTTCGTGTTCTCCCTCTTTGCCTCTCTTGGGGCCCTTTGGGGCGATCAATAGCCGTGTTGGGCTCCTTTTATGGACCGTCTTGATCTCGAGAAGACGATCACGCCACACATAATGAAACACTTAACGAACACCGTATTTTTTTTGTCTCTCGGGGCGCTCTGGGGACGGCTCTTGGGGCGTCTCGCAGGCCTGTTGGGGCCTCCTGGGGTCCTCTTGGTCGGAAGGCTCGTATTTTCGGTTCGTGTTCCCTTCCTTGGGCGTCTTGGAACGTTTTTCGGGCCATCTTGGGGCCCTGTTGGGCCGTCTTTGGCGCCTGTTGGGCCGTCTTCGACCGCTCTTAGGCCGTCTTGGGGCCCTGTAGGAGTCCTCTTGGGCTATCTTGGGGGTCGTTTGGACTGTCTTGGAGCGTCGGAAAGCAGAAATTGCGAAAACGTCCAAACCCCCCAAACAGTTGAAGCACAAATCTTGATTTTGCCTTTTTAGAGGAATGTTGGGACGATGTCTCGGGCGTCTCGAAGGCGTCTTGGGGCGTTTTGGAGCCATCGTAGGCGTCTTGGGTCACTCGTTCAACAATCCGGAGCCGTCTTCGAATGTGTTTGGGGTCGTGTTGGGGCCATTTTGGGCCGTCTTTGGCGCCTCCTGGGCTGTCTTGGGGCGCTCTTAGGTCGTTTGGGGGCTCTGTTGGAGGCCTCTTGGGCTGTCTTGGGGGCCTCTTGGGGGCCTCTTGGGCCGTCTTGGAGCGTCGGAAAACAGAAAAAGCGAAAACGTCGAAATCGTTCAATCTGTACAAAGGACCCCGCATGATAATCTATTTAGAGTGCCTTTCGTTTTTTCTTCTTCGCCCAGGCCGAAGCCCCCCATCTCGCCCTCTGTTGCGCCTCCTCATCCTCCTTGTCTTCCTCGTCCTCCGTCTCCTCCTGCTCGCCCTCTTTGTTCAATGTATCCTCTTCCTCTTCGTCCTTTTCCTCCTCTTCTTCCTCCACCACCTCCTCCTTCTCGCCCCCTTCATCTCCATCCCGCGTGTTCTCCTCATGCACCTCTCCTTCCTCCTGGCAGGGGGGCGCATGCCGATTTTCCTTGGTGTTTTCGCTGCCGCGCCCGGCAGGGGCGCGTTCTCCGATGGTAGAATTGTGAAGCCGTCGGGGCAACGGTCGTTGGGATAACCCCGCGAGCCGCTGGGGCGCGAGCGCAAGCCGTTGGGACAACACCGCAGGCATCGAGTTAGTCGCGGCCGCGCTCAGGCGGGAGGCAGCACGAAGTTCAGCCCTGCCGCGAGCTACTCCACCTCAGCCCTTGAGTTCATATTCCATCCAGAGGAGCCGGAAAGTGACGATATTTACAAGGTTCCGATGGCCCGCTCGGATTGCCAACGTGAAGTGCAGACCCCGTGGGGAGGGGGCTCCCGCTTGAGACATCCTCTCTATTCAGTCACAGACGAAGCTCTGGCCTGAGACTTCCTCCATATTCAGTCCAGAGGAGCAGAGAACTGACGAAGACCCCGATGACCCGCTCGGATTGCCAACGTGAGGTGCGGACCCCATAGGATGGGGGCTCCCGCCTGAGATTTTCTCCGTAATTCACTCACAGACGAAGCTCCCGGTAGAGATTCCTTCCGTAGTCAGTCCAGAGGAGACGAGAAGTGACGACAGTTACGAGATCCCGATGACACGCTCGCGCTACCGACATGAAGCGCTGGTCCCATAGGGAGGGGACTCCCGTCTGAGTTTCCACTTGGGTTTTCTCACGGACGAAGCTCCCGCTTGAGACTTTCTCCGTATCCATTTTTAAGGAAGCGAAGCGTGACGACAATGACAGGATCCCGATAGCCCGCTCGGATTACCAACGTGGACCCCATAGGGACGGGGCTCCCGCCTGAGATTTTCTCCGCGAGTCACTCACAAACGAAGTTCCCGCCTAAGTCGTCCTTCGCAATCAGTCCAGAGGAGCAGAGAAGTGACGACAAAAACAGGATCCAGATAACCCGCTCGGATTGCCAACGTCGGGACGGGGCACCCGCCTGAAATTTCTGTGCAATTCATTCACAGACGAAGGTCTTCCTGGGTCGATGATCACGATGGGATGGCGATAGTGCTGATTGTAATGATGATGATGATGGTGATTATGGTGATGATGCTGCTGATGATGATGATGCTGATGATGATGAGGATGATGATGATGATGATGATGACGATGCGTTGGTGATGGTGACGCTGGTGAGGTGGTGTGCGAACTTGATGATGATTCTGATGATGATGCTGATGCAGATGGTGCTGGTGATGGCGATGGTGATGATGACAGGGTATGTGTGTGTGTGTGTGTGCGTGTGTGTGTGTGTGTGTGTGTGTGTGTGTGTGAAACTGGGCTTGTGATTATGAATGAGTGTGTGTGTCGGGGCTGATGATGGTGGTGGTACTGATGATGATGAGTGTGCAGAAGAGGTGGGACGTCATCTTGCGCGGAGGTGTGCAGAGAAAACAAACACCCGATTTTGGATGCGGGGAACAACGTGCAGAAAACCATTGATGTTTGCCTCTCGGGGCCCTCTTGGGGAGATTTTTGGGGCGTCTCGAAGACGTCTTGGGGCGTCTGGGAGCCATTGTAAGCGTTTTTGGCCAATCGTTCAGCGATTTTGGACCGTCTTGGAACGTGTTTGAGGCTTTAGAAGGCTAACTTGGAAGCTCTGGAGTCTCCAGTGCTGCGCCGACGAGCTGGGATACCCCCCTTCAAACAGGATTTTGGATTCTGGGGCAGGTGGAAAGGGGGAGGGGGACAGCCGATCATCTCACACGCCTTCACACTGGGCAAGCGGGGGCCGACGGATATTATACGCACCGGCCGTGGCGTGTGTTTTTCAGCCATTCCGCTTGGGCAGCGACTTACTGTATTAACATGCTTTATTGCCAGTTGGTGTCGGACGTGCGTCTCAAGCAGAAGCACGTAGTACTAGTATGTCCGTCTGCTTCCCAAACCGGGCCCCAGACCCTGCGCCTTTTCCACGACCAGCTCTCCATTCTCAGCAATTTCTGACGGTCTTGGTGCCCGTGTTCGGGCCCTGGGGGCCCGAGGCTCGCGAGCCACCTCCAGGATCCCTTTCCTCCACGACCCTCGTTCCTTCTGATGGAGTGCTTGTCGGGTGTTGTCAGAGGTGGTGGCCCTGGCCCCAGGTTCAGAGGAGGACACGAGACCCGTACCGCTGCCCGTCCTTCGTCGCCATGGCTGGATTCGCCTTGAGATCTTGGCCAGATCGCGCCGAGGTCCGGAGAGTAGCGATGTTGGTATTATTGGTTCCCTCAATGAAGGCCTTCGAGGTTTGAAGTTGGAGCTTTCCGGGCATTTTCATTGGTTCCTGTGTGTTTGTTTTCCAGCCTCGGGGTGTTTTCTGGCAGCTGCGCATCGCCGAGAGCGTTTTTGGGGGTGCCCGTGTGGTCGCGAACGGCAGCCGGAGTTTCGGTTTTTGGCCTGACATCCGGCGCCGAACTCGCGCGAACAGTTGGGGGCATCTCGAGCCAGGACCACCGCTGGCGACCTCGTCGTTCTGGGCAGGGGCGCGGCTGGTCAGAGTGTTGGACAGAGGGGGCTCATTCTTCCAGGCTTTTGGGGCTCCCGTGATTGACCTCGGCTGGGTGTGGCTTTGAAATCAACCCTGCGCGACCCCAATTCGGAGTCTTCTTTCTCCCCATGCAATCAAATCAGTTTTTCGCAATGCAATGCAATTCAATGCAAATCACTGCTTGGCAGTGCTTGGCATTGGTTTGGCGTTTTTTGGGCATTGCTTGGCGTTGCTTGGCATGGCTTGACATTGTTTGATGTTGCTTTGCATTGCTTGGCTTTGCTTGGCTTTGCTGGGCTTGACTTGGCTTCTCTTGGCATTGGTTCTTCTCTCGCTCGAACCCTCACGGTCCTTTTGCGCCGAGCTGGTCCAGCCAGCTCGAGTCACCCAGCCGCGGTCGCGGCGCCGGGCCTATGCTGACAGGCCCCGCGCGCGCCGCACCCGCCACCCCTGCGGCGGGCGGCTCTGGCACGATCAGCCGGCTCGCAACTCCTCTGAGGCGAAGGCGGACCCGCTCTCCCCGTCAAAAGCGTGCCTCGTCCGCTCATTTCCTCGGGTTTTTTCGGCCCCGTGCTCGTGCCCGTGAACACCAGGCTCTTCATCTCCTTGGCCGCCTGCGCCATCGGGCACGTGTCCTCCTCGAGGCTCACTCCGATCGGCGCCAACGTCTGGCGTGCCCACAAGAGCTCGACCGCCTCGGCCAACTCGCTGTCTGGAGACGGGGCCACTATCCACTTCACGAGCTCGCCCTTCGCCTCGTCTTTTACCTTCGCCGAGACACACCTCTTGGCCCTCACGCTCTTTAGGTCCTGCGACCGATCCTCCAGCAAGTCGAGGGCCGTCGCGATGTCGTCCGCGGTCTCCTCCTCCTGCACGTCCTTCAGATGCTCCTTGAAAATCCTTCAAGAAGGGAACGCTGGCGCCACCACGCTTTTTGAGGTTCAAAGCCTGCGTCACGCGCAGGAGGAGGTTGGCCAGCAGCGCGTCGGGCTTCTTGCCATTGGAGTTTCCGCGGAACGGTTCCTTGGCGAACTGGGCCGCCTTCCTCGCCGCGCCCCCCGCCTTCGTGTACTCGCCCTGTGCCCAGGCCAGGGTGTTGGCCAGCTCCGAGTCCGCGTCCATCACGAACACCACGTTCTCGTCCGCGCGTTGGAGCGCCGCTCGTTCTCCAGCTGCAGCGTCAGCTTTGCCAGCGCCTCGTTGATCTTCCGCTGGACCTTGTCCGTCACCCCGGCGCCGCCTCCACCGATCCCGCCGCCGCTTGTGCCGCCTGCGTCGCCTGGCGCTTCCGCCCGCCACCTACCGCCGCCGCCACCTGCTGAGGAGCGCCGAACATCTGGGGGCCGCGCGGACGCTGGCGCGATCTGCACGTCCTCAGCCAGAGCCGCACTGCGGAAGAACGAGGCGATTGATGGTTGATCTGACGGTCGATCTTGCGATTGCGGACCCCCCCCTGGAGGATCCGTAGGTTTTTTTCCATAGCGCCATTTGCGGGCTGCCTCCCTCTACCTCGCCCTCGCCCCCCGCCCCTGCCGCGGCCGCGACCACGAGCCTCTCTCATGGCTCTGCGCGGGGCGCCTATTCCCTAAGCCATCATGCGCTGCCTTTCTTCCTCGCCGCACCATTGGCCGAGATGGATCTACAAGGCCGGCCGCATTCAGGACAATAGACGATCTCGGCCTCCACCTCCTCCTCGGCATTCCACGTCAAGACGCTGTCGAAGATCACCTTGGGGATGCGAGAACGCCACCTCAGCCAGGAATCGCTCAAGTAGGGAACACGAGGGACGGGGCCTCGCCCAGCACCTCCACCAGCCGCGCCTTGGGGGCCTTCGTCCTCAGGGCCCCGCCCTCCTCCGCGATCTCGGCCATGCTCAAGCACAGCGCCACCAAGTCTCGCGCCCGGACAGACCCCTTACCCAGACACGTCGATTGAGGAATCGTCCCAGGGCCTTGTTTTTATTTTTCAAAACGTGCATCGGTGTGCACTCTCGCGCCTAGTGCGCGTTGGTGTTGTACTGATTGCAGCGGTTTTCGAGGCGTCGCCGTGCAAACGTTCAAGGCATCGAAACGTGCAAGACTTAGTCGCCCTGGAGCGTCGATACTCCGCTTCTTATCGTCCTTCCGGACTCAAATTCGAAACGCCCCAACAGCACCATGCGCGTGAGCTCCTTGGGATCGTGTTCCGTCGCCAATTGCGCCCGCAATTCTCCAGGCAGGCGAACCACTTCCCTGCCGAACTCCCCCTTCAGAATGGATTGCCAGTACAAAAGGCGCCGCCGTCGAAGTTCATTACCAATCGTTGCCACATGAAGGCGTTGGCGAATACTTTCGTTTGGCTGGTTCGCGAAGAATTTGGCGAACGCATTTCATAGGCCATCGTTCCAATAAGCGGATATCCATCACTCCCAGCGTCTGAGCCTCCATCGCATATGACAAAGTGAAGAAAACCAAAGACTGCCACAACCTCAGCTTCACCTGCGTCGAAAGAGTACGAGACTTCCATACCTTAAGCGATAAAACGCGCATGTGCAGACTTTGCCTTCGCCAAACGGGCCGTTGCCTCTGGTCTCGAACTCCCGTCGATGTCGAGCACGCTGCCAAGGTACGTGGCCTGCTTCTTGATCACGATCTGATGGCCGCGAATCTGGAAGACGATGTGCCCGCTCTTGATGCGCTTATTCACCTTCGCGCTCCCTGGGCCATTCGCTGGCGCCAGAACCTCCAGCTCGCCCATGTTTGTCTTCAATCCAAACTCCGCGAAGATGTCCAGATCGCGGCCGATCCACTTCGCCGCCGACGAAGGCCACCTCGTCGATCGAGCCCCACTTGTCGCCTTAGTATACGCGTTTTGGGAATGTCCTCCGCGGTACGTGCAGTCACTGCAGTCTCGAGGAACATGTCGTAGCGATCCCAGACCCCTCCCTCAAGGACCTTTAGGGGCGGGGGTTTTGCGAAGCACCACTTTCGTGCTGCCCAGATTCGCTCATGTCCACAGGCTCGCCGTCGAAGATGTACGCCAAAGCATTCGAGCGGGCGTCGAGCTCCTCCTCAATGGTCCAACACTTGCTACCTAAAGCCCCCGTCTGCGGATTCCACGTGCGTGCAGTTCTCATAGCTGCTCGTGGTTTCGGTCCGAGGCGGTCGATCTTTTTGTGCAGCGCCCGTGTCTCCTTTATCGGCATCCTCCTGGGCCTCCTCAGCTAGCTTGGCATTGCTTCGAATTGTCTGGTTTGGTATAGCTCTTGGCGCAGCTCTTGGCATTGCTCTTGGCATTGCTTTTGGCATTTCTTACGATCGTTTGGCTTTGCACGGGCAACCTCGTGCAACCCTGAGGAACCCAGAGAAACACCAGGCAACCCGTAGGACCCCCCGAGCAACGGCGGTGATGTATTGCCGATTCCATCTGAAGTTGTCCTCTCTGGGGTGGTCTTGTGTGGTGGTGGCAGGCGATCTCGGAGCTCGTGTCTCAGTTCGACCCCAGCCAGCTGGAGATGGGGCCGACCGCTGGCAATCTGGACCTGATCGCAGAGAAGGCTCTGCTCGTTGCTCCTTTCTTCGTCTCCAGGGTCGATTTCGATCCGCTCGATCCGATTCGACATGTATCCTGGCTGGTATCCGACTCGACTTCGATATTCGAAAGAGCCGTTTCTGCCGCTGCTGGCAGGGGGGCGGGTGGGATTGACCTCCCTCTCCCTCGGGAAAATCCGGGGGGTCCAGAAACCCCTCCCCTTCCCCTCGGAAAAAATCATTGGGGGGGGTCCTTGCCCTTCCTCCCCACCGCAACGACGACGACGACGACAACGACGACGACACGACGACGGCTGCGGCGGCGGCGACGACGACGGCGACGACGAAGACGACGCCGACGACGACGACGACGACGACGACCACGACACGGCGGCGGCGGCGGCGATGACGACGACGTCAGCGGCGGCGGCGGCGCATCTGTCGCCAGCGCCCGCGCCAGACGCCGACGCCGACGCCGACGCCGAGGCCGACGATGACGACGACGACGACGACGACGGTGCCGGCGGCGACGACGACGACAACAGCGAGGCACGACGCACGACGACGAAGCCCGCCGACGCCGACGCCGACGCGGACGCCGACGACGACACGCCGGCGGCGGCGGCGGCGGCGACGACGACGACGACGATGGCGACGTCAGCGGCGGAGGCGACGCACCTGTCGCCAGCGCCCGCGCCAGGCGCCGACGCCGACGCCGACGCCGACGACGGCGACGGCGGCGGCGGCGGCGACGACGACGACGACACCTGCTGTCGCTGGGTGCACAGTAAAGCAAAGCAAAGCGCAGCATAGCATAGCATAGCATAGCATAGCATAGCATAGCATAGCATAGCTCAGCATAGCATAGCACAGCGCAGCATAGCATAGCATAGCATAGCATAGCATAGCTTAGCATAGCATAGCATAGCATAGCACAGCGCAGCATAGCATAGCATAGCATAGCATAGCATAGCATAGCATAGCACAGGTAGGGTCGCACTGGGATACTTTGTTCCGCACCTTCCGTCGCTAAGTCGCTGTCGACATCGATGTCTTCGAACATGGCCTGCGCCAGGCCATCGAGGAACGTGAAGTGTGGCGGGCCCTTGTCCTTTGCCTGTAGGTTACTCCTGAGCAGCCTGGCCTTGGCACACTGCTTTCGTTTCTTGTATTCTCGTGAGTTCAGAGTCTCCGCTGTGACGATGCGGCCCTTCGGACCACCTGCTACTGAATCCGATGCCATCACGAGTGTCGCCTGAGCTCACGATCTCCTTCGCCTCTGCGTCCGTGTCTATGTCTGACCTTGCTCTCGCTACCAATGCTGATCGCTGGCCTCGGCGTCAGCCTCGGGGCCCCGCGCGGACGCCCGTATTGGGGGCGTCCCCGCTTCCATGAGCCAGGATGCCTAATGTACGGAGGCTGCACGTTCCACAGGATGGGAGGGCGCGGAGCGGGGGGCGTGGAGAGAGAGAGGGCAGGGGGGAGACTGAGGGGATGGAGGAGGACGAGGACGAGGACGAGGAGGACGAGGACGAGGACGAGGAGGAGGAGGAGGAGGAGGAGGAGAAGGAAGAGATCCTTCGGATGTCTGGGTCCTGGGACTCCCGGCCCGTCGGGGCGGCGGCCCCGCTCCGAGGACGGCGGCCTGGTCGCCGACCTGCCGGAGCTGCTGCGGGCGGATCCGCGTGCGCGGCCCAGCGCCTCCGAGCTGATGCGGCGGCCCGCCAGCGCGCAGGCCCTCGTCGTCGACGCCGCCGTCGTCGTCGTCGTCGTCGTCGTCGTCGTCGGCGTCGTCGTCGTCGTTGTCGTCGTTGTCGTCGTCAGTCGTCGCCGTCGTCGTTGTCGTCGTCGTCGTGAGTCGTCGTCAATCGTCGGCCCCAGTGGCAACGCCCGGCGCGCGCCTCCATCCCGCCGCGGTGCCGCCCGACTCGGGCCCCTGGGGTGCCCTCGGAGAGCCTCTGGTCTGGGCCTCTCGGCTGGGGCGGGGCCAGGACGGGTACTTATCGGATCGGATCGGATCTGATCGAGATGGACTGTGGAGGGCGCCCCCCTGAGGCTCTCCGAGGGCGTTCCGGGCTCCGATGCTGCAGGCCTTTCAAATGGGTCTTGGGTATATGGGGTGATCGTGCAGCATCGCCGATGCATCGGCGATGCGGTGCCTGCTGTAGCTTCGTTTGTTATCATCTGGGTTCCATATTTGTTTTGAATTGGACGCACAGTTCAACTCGCGAATGGACACGCATCGGGACATCAACACTAGTTTTCACACATGCGCATGTGTGTATGTGCATTCATCATGACGGGACAACTGGGGGTTCTCTTGTGCGGGTGGGGCCACGGGTTACAGTGTGACAGACAGCCAACGGCCTGGCGCCGCGACGCGGAAGAGGGGGCGACGGGCACCTCGGAAGAAGGGGGGGGGAAGGGAGAAGGGGGAGTGAGTGCCACCGTCAGAGAAACACAACAACACAAGACTGACGGGAGCGGACCCTGGACATCAACCTGGGCACCATCCTCAGCCTCGGACGCGGGAAGGACCTCCAGGTCCGTAACCTTTGTAGTCGAGGAAAACCGCACCAAAAAGGGTGGGTCTAGGGCCGCTTCCCGTGCCCAAAAGCTCGGACCCCGTACGAGGGCGGAGGCCACTCCACAGCTTACGCAGGCGGTTCCAGGCAAACGACCCATGGGGACAGCTTTCGCGACAGGCATGGTCGATGTTCTTTGAATTCACTGTATGCGCCGCATAACGCGCAGAAAAACGTCGGGCCCATTCGTCCAGACAGGGTGTCCCTCGTCAGGCGTGCAGTGGAAAGCACTGAGGATCTGAATTGTGTTCCCAGACTTCAGGCACCTCACGCACCTGAAACCTCCCTTTGAGAAACACACTGGGTCGTGCACGCCCTCGGGTGGCACAGCATCGTCGGACAGTCGCGGGAAGATTCAACGCCCCCGCTTGGCACCGACCTCGGGCAACTCGGGGACAGCAGACCCTGGTCCAGCAGCCCGAATGGACCGAGCCAGGCACTTGCCTACACACTGAGCGAAAGGATGCGAAAGGATAGGGCCGCTCGATCCTGGTGCGGGCCTCCTCGTCGCAGGAGTGCAACTGGGCTCACGCTCTGGTCTCCCCGTCGGCCGCCTGGTTACCGAGATGCCGCCACCTAGCACTTTCGTTTCGGTCGTCATCACGCACGCGCGCGTGACCCTTGACTTTGGTCACGCTGACCTCCCCCCACGTCCCGGACGCTCCCACATCCCTTCCCAGAGATCAATGGTCTCGGTGCGGCCTTTTGTGGAAACTACTGGCCACACAGTCGCAGTCATAGAAGAACGTGCAAGGACCGAGGGTGGCATTATCAACATGCATCGTACGAGCGTGAAGATTGGCCACCTCGGAGCTTTGATTAAGCCCAGGTAGGGTGCCGCACAGAGAACCGAGAATGTCGAGCCCGCTGGGATTAACCTGGACGACGCTCCAACCAGCTCTCCTCAGCCTGCTGTCGTGCCCTACCAGCGAATGGCAGGAGCCGTCCCCGAAGCAGTTGCTCGGAGTGTGCCTTTGCCCTAATTGCACGGTTTCTGTCCCCGGTCGTGTTTCTTACCGACTTTTCCGACGGATTTGCAGCTTTGCGCCCTGGCAGTTCCCCTCAGCCTCAGTCCTTCAGCCACCCTCCTGAGGCCTCGGCCGGCGCGTAGCTGTTGCCTCGCGCGTCGCCTCTGCTTTAATTTTCTCGCGTTCCCTCTGCCAAACTAGTCTCTGCGTAGCCCGCTTTGACCTGACTCGCCGCCAGCGCGATCGCCCGCGGCCGCTGACTAAAAAGTATCTCCACCAGCCCATCAAGACACGATCGGAGGCTTTCTCGACGCGTCCTGGAGGCTACCTCGAGGCATCGTCGGCTAGAGGCTGTCGGAGGCTATCTTGAGCCATGCTCAGCTATCTTGGGCCATCTTGAGGCTGTTTTGAGGCCCCGTCGAGGTCTGTCGGAGGCTATCTTGAGCCATGTTCGACTTCCGGTGACAATCTTGAGGAGGAGGAGGAGGAGAAGGAGGAGGAGGAGGAGGAGGAGGAGGAGGAGGAGGAGGAGGAGGAGGAGGAGGAGGATGAGGCAGAAGGCTGACGAGGAGGCTGAGGAGGACGGGTAAGAAGAGGAGGAGGAATACGGCACGACGAATATGAGGAGCAGGATGAAGAGGAGGAGGATGAGGATGAGGAGGAGGAGGGCGGAGACAAGAGGGAGGGAAGGAATGGACGATGACACGGAGGATGAGAAGTCAGGCTTTTGACATCTGTTGTTGTGAGATTTTTTCTTGACGGGCTAGTGAGGCCACCTTATGGGGTCTCTGAGGTTCCCAGTGGGGCCGATTGGGACACTCTTGGGGCCCTCTTGGGGCTCGTTTTGGGGGTCTTTGCACCCTCTTGGGACTCTCTTGGGCCGTATTTGGGGCCATCGTGAGACCTCACACGTCCATCGGAAGCGAAACAGCGAGAAGGCAACACACATTGAGATTCGTTGGGTGTCGGAGCCACTTTGGCCTTTTGGGGGTGGGTCCTCGGAGGGCCCGTGGGCATTGGGAACCGTCTTGGGACCACCTTGGGGCCTCTGGGATATGCGTCGGAGGCTATCTTGAGCCATCTCGAGGTATCATGACCCGTCTTGGAGGCTATCTTGGGCTCAGGAATGCCCTCTTGGAGCCATGCTATCTTTGACGCTCTAACCACCCGCCCCCTCCCATTCCATGTCCAGGGGAGGGGGTAGGAGGAGGGGTCAAGTTACCCCCTCCCCGCCCGCAAGCCGTCTGGCTCACTCCCACCCGCCCTCCCAACACATACGTAGCACCCGAGTCTGGCCCGAGCCTCAGCATATTCAGCAGTCGTCTTTGGATGGGCAGCTACTGGGGGCCAATCCGCCGCCTTCGCCGCCGCCTTCGCCGCCGCCGCCGCCGCCGCCGCCCCCCGCTGCCAAACCGCCGCCGCCGCCGCAGCCGCTGCCGCCACCGCTACCGCCGCCGCCGCAGCCGCCGCCGCCGCCGCCGCCGCCGCCTCAGCCGCCGCCGCCGCCGCCGCCGCCGCCGCCGCGCCCCCCGCTGCCAAAGCGCCGCGCCGCCGCAGCCGCTGCCGCTGCCGCTGCCGCCACCGCCGCCGCCGCCGCCCGCCGCCGCCGCCGCCGCCGCCCCCGCCGCCGCCGCCGCCGCCGCCGCCGCCCCCGCCGCCCGCCGCCGCCGCAGCCGCCGCCACCGTCGCCGCAGCCGCCGCAGCCGCCGCCGCCGCCAAGTGTATTCTGTATGGTTTTTGAAAAGGGATTTGTTTTTTTGGGGGCGCATCGGGTTGGCTGCGCATGTTCCGAATTTGGAGGCAGAGTGTGTGTTGTATCGTTTTACAAGGGATAGTGGGGGGGGGTGTCAGCATGGACCCTGGTTGGCCCCCAATCGCCTGGGGGAGGGGGTGTTTATTAATAGGGAACAGTGATCAAGTTACCCCCTCCCCGCCCGCAAGCCGTCTGGCTCACTCCCACCCGCCCTCCCAACACATACGTAGCACCCGAGTCTGGCCCGAGCCTCAGCATATTCAGCAGTCGTCTTTGGATGGGCAGCTACTGGGGGCCAATCCGCCGCCGCCGCCGCCTCGCCGCCGCCGCCGCCGCCGCCGCCCGCCGCCGCCGCGCCGCCGCCGCCGCCGCCGCCGCCGCAGTCGCCGCCGTCGCCGCCGCCGCGGCCGCGCCGCCCGCCGCCGCCGCCGCCGCCGCCGCGTGGGCAGTGGAAACCGTCTTGGGACTACCTTGGAGCCTCTTTAATATGCGTCGGAGGCAATCTTGGGCAATCTTGAGGTATCTTGACACATATTGGAGGCTATCTTGGGCTCACGAATGTCTTCTTGGAGCCATGCTATCTTTGACGCTCTAACCACCCGCCCCTCCCATTCCATGTCCAGGGGAGGGGGTGGGGGGAGGGGTCAAGACACCCTCCCCGCCCGCAAGCCGTGTCGATCACTCCCACCCGCCCTCCCAACACATAAGTAACACCCGGGCTTCAGCATGTTCAACGGTCGCCTTTGGATGGGCAGCTACTGGGAACCAAAGGCGAACCCGTGTGCGCGACGTTGGGGCGAGGTGCGCCACGCGCGCCAGGCGCGCCACGAGCGCCAGGCACCCCCGGGGCCCGAGCGTGCCAGGCACGCCTGGTGCGCCAGATGTGCCACGTGCGCCAGGTGTGCCGCATACTCCAGCCGCGCTTGGTGCGCTACGTTCGGGGCACGTGCAGAGTGTGCCAGGTGCGCCTGCGCACGTGACAGCACACATCGGGAAACATGTCGCCCCCCACCATCCTTGGTCGAACACCCATGCCCATCATTGTGTCTGGTGGATCTGCGCACAGCAGGCCATAAGCCACCATCCTCGCCATCCCTGTCAAAAGCCGCTTGACTGATCGCGGGGCGGCCGCGCATGATCCTGATCTAGCTGCGAGGTGCATTTTGTATTGTGTTTTGGCAAGGATGGTGGCCCTGCGCACATCAGGCAAAATGCTGACCCCCCGCCGTCCCTGCCAAAAACAATACAAGTGCTCGTGGGCCTCACGAACATGACTCAAGACTTTGCCCCACAGCGTGCCTTGCATTGTTTTCTGACAGGGATGGTGGAAAAGGGGGGCCGCATCGGGTTGGCTGTGCATGCTCCGAATTTGGAGGCAGAGTGTACTGTGCATGGCTTTTTGTCAGGGGTGGTGTGTGTCTGTGTGTGATCATGGTTGTCGGAATTGTTCCTGGTTGGCAGCGGGTCGCCTGGGGGAGGGGGTGTATATTATGGGGGTGTATATTGTTAGGGAGCAGTGATCAACCACCCTCCTAGATAGCAGGCCGTCCAGCTCACTCCCACCCGCCCTCCCAACACAGAAGTAACAACCGAGTGTCAACATATCGTTCAGGGGCGCCAGATGCGCCAGCTACGTCGAACCAATCGAGACCCAGGTGCCTGGGGCCCTGGCCTCAAGGAGTTCAGGATCTTGAACTCCCCTGAAGCGAAGTGCCGAGCATTCTGTGAGAAGGGCAGGTGGGCGGCTCTTCCAGGGAGCCTAAAGCACCGGCACCGATGGACAACTTGTGACATCTGGAGGAGTTGTAACACAGATGAATTGTGTATACTTTTTTGACAGGGATGGTTGGCCTGCGCGCAGCAAGCAATATGCTGGCACCCCCGCCGTCTCTGACAAAGACTGACAAAATGGTCGCGGGGCGAAGTGGACTCAGGGCGCCCGTGCATGCGCCAGATTTCCAGGCAAACATTTTGTAGTGTTCATGTGCAGGAGATGGTGGGTGGGTGCTCATTGGTCTGGGTTGGCTGCTGGTCGCCTGAGGGAGGGAGTGTAAACCCCTCGAACAGGGGAAGGAGGTGTTTTAGCAGAGAGAAGACACAAGTTCGTTAAACCAGATACGTCCAGAGGGCTGGGGGGAATCATGGAGTGTGTGACCAGGCCCTGGTTTGAGGTTCTACCGAGTCTTGGGATCGAGGAGGCTTTTCATTTTTTGTCGGCTATGCTTTCGTTGATGTATGGGATCATCCAGAGTCCTCGGGCCCCCTTCACGATCATAATGAAGAAACCAATAAGGAAGGACGGCGGCACTCAAAACGACTGATGGTCAACTCCTTCTCTAATCAGTAGTACATCTCAGCTCAGCGCATGCCTTGTGAAAGATGTTGGGGAGAGGAATCCGCAAAGACAACTTCGTGCACCTTGGGGATTGTAGACGAGACGAGGAGTATTAGAAGGATGAGAAGGAGGAGAAGAAGGAGGAGGCGGAAGCGGAGGCGGAAGAGGAGGACAAGGAGGAGGAGAAAGAAGAGGAAGAGGAGGAGGAGGCGGATAGGTGGGAAACAAGAGGAATGGAGTGGAGAGGGGCAGAGCCTCCCTGTGAGGTTGCCTCGTCCCTGTTACCTGCATGCGCACAGGCACCTGAGTGCGACCACTGCCCCATCCCCACCCAGCCAGTGCCCAGTTTTTATCCTTGGACCCAAAGGTTTTCAGCGTCGCCGTCATGGGTCGAACGTGAGGTACAGGAGGAGGCGGAGGAGGAGGAGGAGGAGGAGGAGGAGGGGGAGGAGGAGGGAAACAGGGAAACAGAAAATAGGTCAAGACCCCTCGCGTCTCGCGAAGGGAGGGCGGTCCCCCCCTTGAGCCTGCACCGCAGACCGCGCCAAAAGGCGTCCTCTGGGAATTGGCGCCTCCCCCCCGAACGCATGGGGGGCCCGTTCCCAGGGTCGGCTCTGGGGAGAGACTGCCCCCCCAAGATCCCCGAAAACTCAGAGGAGGATGAGGATGAGGATGAGGATGAGGATGAGGATGAGGAGGAGGAGGAGGAGGAAGAGGAGGAGGAGGACGACACCGTATTTCGACCAAGCGTAAACATGGATTCAGGCGCGTGGACTCGCGACGGGTCCTGTTTTCGTGCAAGATCGGCGCGTTCCGTCGCCAAGTCAGGCGACATTCATTGGCCTCATGTTTCGGCGGGTATATTCTCCGAGGTTGCCATGCCATGCGCCAGATCCACGATTCTGTGATTCATGTAGGCGCGCGCCCTACTACAGTTCAATCATGTTTGGCGTCAGGCTACTCGGGTGCGCGGCCCGGGGCGCATACAGGCGTAGGCACCCGTCCCACCCGCTTCCCTCCTTCGTGACCTCTTTCCGCCGCTCTCTCCGCTCCCCGTGGGTTCCGCCCGTGGTGGAGTGGCTGCTGGGGCATACGTCTTGCGTGACAACACCGCCCATGGCTTGAGGCTCGAGCGAGGATGATGCTGCTAATGATGGTGGTGGCGTTGATGATGATGATGATGATGATGATGATGATGATGATGATGATGATGATGATGATGATGATGATGATGATGATGGCAGTGGTGGTGGTGGTGGTGTAGATACTGATTATGATGCTGATGATGATGATGGTGATGCTGCTGATTATGATGCTGATGATGGTGGTGGTAATGAGCATCATGATGACCATGGTGGCGATGGTGATGATGATGCTGATGATGATGATGATGATGATGATGATGGTAGTGGTGGTGATGATGGTGATGGTGCTCTGATGCTGATGCGGCTGATAATGATGATGATGGAGACGATGCTGCTGCTGCTCTGATGATCATGATGCTGATGACGATGTCGATGACGGTGAGGATTCCGATGGCGACGATGTGGAGGGGGAGGAGGACGACGACGATGACGAGGACGATGATGATGTCGATGCTGCTGATGGTGATGATGATTATGGTGATGCTGCTGCTGATGATGATGCCGATGATGACGATGCTGATGCTGATGATGGTGCTGCTGATTATGATGATGATCCTGATGCTGCAGCTGCTGATGACGATGCTGATTGTTGTGATGGTTATACTGATGCTGCTGATGATGCTGATGGTGACGATGAATATGCTGATGCCGATGCCGATGCTGATGATGAAGGTGATGGTGACGGCGATGATGACGATGATGCTGTCGATGATGATGCTGCTGCTTCTGATGAGGATTATGATGATGCCGAGCCCGATGACGATGATGATGATGATGATGATTATGATGATGACGGTGATGACTATGCCGATGATGCTGATGCTGATGATGATGGTGATGATGATGATGCTGATGATGATGATGATGGTGGTGGTGGTGGTGGTGGGGGTGATGATGATCATGATGATGGTGATGGTGATGCTGACGATGCTGCTGATGGTGATGATGATGACGATCATGGTGGTGATGCTGACGATGCTGCTGCTGATGATGATGATCATGATGATGCTGCTGCTGATGATGCATCTGCTGATGCTGATGATGATGATTATGATGATGATGCTGACGATTATGATGCTGATGCTGATGCTGATGCTGCTGATGATGATGATGATGATGATGATGGTGATGCTGATGCTGATGATGATGATGATGATCATGCTGATGCTGATGCTGATGCTGATGTTGATGATGATGATGATGATGGTGATGGTGATGATGATGATGATGATGATGATGATGATGATGATGATGATGATGATGATGATGATGATTGATGCTGCTGATGGTGATGATGATGATGATGATGACGATGATGATGATGATGATGATGATGATGATGATGATGATGATGATGATGATGATGATAAGGAGGAGGGGGTGGAGGAGGAAGGAGGAGGAGGAGGAGGAGGTTGAGGAGGTTGAGGAGGACGATGATGATCATGATGAGGATGGGGAGGATGGGGTGGATGATGCTAATGCTGATTGTGGTGGTGTTGGTGGTGGTCGTCGTGCTGCTGCTGCTGATGATGATGCTGATGCTGATGCTGATGCTGATGCTGATGCTGATGCTGATGCTGATGCTGATGCTGATGATGATGATGATGATGATGATGATGCTGATGATGATGATGATGATGATGATGATGATGATGATGATGATGATGATGATGATGATGATGATGATGATGATGATGATGATGATGATGATGATGATGATGATGATGATGATGATAATATGGGGGATGGGGATGATGATGGTCATGATGAGGATTTGGAGGTTGAGGAGGATGAGGACGAGGAGGAGGAGGAGGAGGAGGAGGAGGAGGAGGAGAGTTCACGAACGCGCGCCCTTCTGCGACAACGCGGCCGCGCGTCCCAGAGGTGCTGCGAGCGGTGCTGGAGCAGAAGGCATCGCCCGACCTGGCGAGAGTAGGAAGCCGATGGGCGCAGGATGGGGGCGACGATACCGAGTGGAGGAGGAGCAAGATGAAGGGGATGGCCGGACGTTTTCGTTGGTTTGCGGAGGTGTTCCAGCCTCGGGATGCTTTCCAGCAGCTGCTCTTCGCCGAAAGCCTCTGTGGCCATCTGATCTTTGTCCTGGAGCCTCCTGCGGCCATTGGAGCCTCTTGGGGCGGACGGTCGTCCCTCTTGGGTCGTATGGGAGTTTTCCTTGGCCTCTGGGTTGCCTTCCAGGGCCGTCTCTGATGTCATTTTGGCTAACGTGGATCGAGAGGCCTCGCGCGGCACACCGGGGCCCACTTCGTGCTCAAGCCACGGTGGCGCACACGTTCCGAGTAGATTTCCAAGGTCGGTTCACGGAGTCGCAAAGTGTGAGAACCCTCGGGGCCATTGCCGGAAGCAACTTTGCGCCACCAATCTTGCGCCTGACCGCCAGGAGAGTGTGGGCCAGGAGGCCCGGGAACCACCTCTCTCCTGGTAGCACATCAGAATGTTGTCCAGCGTGGACGCCAAGCAGTACGTTTTTGTGCTGTGGATGTGTAAGTTATGTGGTGTAAGCTATGTGGTGCAAGCTATGTGTCGTACGTGATCTATGCGGTGCAACCTACGTGGTGTAGGCTATGTGATGTAATCTACTTAGTGGCAGGTATGTGCTGCAAGCTATGTGGTGCAAGCGATGTGGTGTAGGCTATGTGGTGAGGCGGTGGCGGGCGGCAACGTGGCGAAGCCTCGGCGGACTCCCCAAGCGCGGGAGGCGGCAGCGAAGCGGCAACGGGTGGTAACGTGACGAAACCTCGACGGACCTCTCCGAGCACTGTGGGCGGCCGCAACGGGCGGCAAAATGGCGAGACCTCAGCGGACCCACCAAGCGCGGCAGCTGTCAACGGGGCTGCAACGGGCAGCAACGTGGCGAAACCTCGACGGACACCCAAGCGCGGTTGACGGCAACGAGGCGGCGACGGGCGGCAACGTGGCGAAACCTCGACGCCCCCCCCCCAAGCGCGGTGGGCGGCAACGGGCGGCAGCATGGCGAAACCTCGGCGGACCCCCAAAGCGCAGTTGGCGGCAACGAGGCGGCAACTGGCGGCAACGTTACGAACTCTCTGCGGACCTCCCCGAGCGCGGTCGGGCGGCAACGGGACGGTAGCGTGGCAAAACCTTGACGGACCCCCTCCCCACGCGCGGTGGGCGGTGGGCGGCACCGAGTCGGCACCGGGCGACAACGCGGCGAAACCTCTGCGGACTCCCAAGCGTGGTGGGCGGCAGCGACGCGGCAACGGGCGACGACGCAGCGAAACCTCAGCGGACCCCCCAAGCGCAGTGGGCGGCAACGGGGCGGCAACGGGCGGCAGCATGGCGACACCTCGGCGGACCCATCAAATTCCCAAGGTATCCGAAATAAGAGCCCCAGAGTGCAAGCACTGGTTTAGGGATATCGGTCCCACAATGCTCCTATTTGTCGCCCTATCAGTATGAAGCACGCATATTCCTTCTCTTCCTCATTCTGCCCTCCAGAGAACACGTGCCGAAGCACGTGGCAGAGGCGACGCACTACTTCCTCATACTCCTACTCACACTCCTACTCGTCCTGTTCGCACTCCCAACCACCCAACCGCTGGATCGCACCCACCGAGGAGTGGGAGGCTTCCAAGCGTCTCTGCGGATGTTTTTCGAAGGGCAGCCATGCATCCCGGGGACATCCCCACGGGCGGCAACGGCCGGCAACGGGCCGGACCACGGCGAATATTCGGGACACCCCCACAGGCGGCAACCCGGCGGCAACGGGCCAGAACGTGGCGCATCCTCAGGACCCCCCCGCGGGCGGCAACGGGCGGCAATTGGCTGGAACGTGGCGAAGCCTCGGGACACCCCCAGAGGCGGCAACTGCCGCAACGGGCGGCAATGGGCCGGAACGCTGCGAATCCCTGGGGCACCCCACAGGCGGCAACGGGAAGGCAACAAGCCGGAACGTGGCGGGTCCTCGGGACACGCATCCAATCTCTCAGAGCCGCGAGCAATAGCCCGTAAGTGCAAGCACTGTTTCAAGAACAAGCAGTGAGCTCACGCTGTGAATTTCGACGTCGGAGGCTGGGGGGTGAGATCGAAGTGGAACGGAGAGCCCCTCACCAGGAAATCGGTTTCGGTTTCGGCTTCGTGTCGTGCGTGCGGACGAGGCGAAGCTACGTGGGTGGGGCGAGAGGATATGCCCCGCCGTGGCCAGAGGGGGGCGAAAGAAATGGCCGCCCCTCCTGTGGGCCAGCTTGGCCGGGGGTGTCCCGCCGCTGTGGTGTCCCGTCGGTGTCCCGTCGGTGTCCGCGGCGGTGGCCGGGGGTGTCCTGTTGGTGCTCCGTCGGTGTCACGTCCCCGTCGGTGTACCGTCGGTGTCTCGTGGGTGTCCTGTCGGTGTCCCATGGGTGTCCCGCCGTGGGTGTCCTGTCGATGTCCGTTGGTGTCCCGTTGGTGTCCTCTCGGTGTGACGTCGGTGTTACGACTGGTGCCCCTTGGCGTCTTGGTGGTTTTTCGAGGGTGCCCTCGATGGTGTGTGTTCCGATTGTGTTTCCACGGTATGATTGTGGTCCGATCGTGTCCAGATGATTTCCAGTGAGATCCATAGTGAACTGGAGACTGCGACCACCCATCGATCGTGAGATCGGTAGTGAGAGCGGTAGTGAGATCGATAGTGAGATCGGTGGTGAGATTCATTGAGTGAGACGTTAGTTCCCACTACAACCTCCTTACCACCCGAAGGGTGGTTGTATAGGTATCTGATCGAAGACGCCTATGGCGAATCACCGCCGCCCCCTTCCTTTTGGAGTGGCCCATGTGGCCGAGCGTTGTGGCAAGAGCTCTGCCAAGCTATCGGACCATGTGCTCCCCCAGCAGTTGTGGAAACCCTTCGGGGAACATTTGGGGGAGGATGGTGGGGAAGATCAGGAAGAGGAGGAGGAGGAGGAGGAGGAGAAGGAGGAGGAGGAGGAGGAGGAGGAGGAGGAGGAGGAGGAGGAGGAGGAGGAGAAAGTGGAGAAGGAGGGGGCATCTTGGGAGCCTCTGGGGGCCCTCTTGGGGCCTCCTGGGGGCTTCCTGGGAGCCTCTTAGAGGCATCTTGGGGACCACCTTGGGCCTCTTGGGGGCCTTGGGGGTCTTCTCGGGGGCCTCTTTGGCCATCTAGGGGCGTTCCTTGCCCGTCTGACGCCGACGGAAGCGGTCTTGGGAGCCTCTCTGGGCCGACTTGGGGCCATCTTGGGGTGCCCCAAGGCCGTCTTGGAAGCCATCTTGGGCGTCTTGGATGCCGCTTTGGGGGCCTATTGGGCCGTTCTGGGGCCATCTTGGAGGCCTTTTGGCGATCTTGGGGTGAACTTTCGGGACTCTTGGGCCGTCTCGGGCTGTCAGAAGGTCGAACCGAAGCAACTGCCAACATCCTGCACGCACCCAAGGCTAATCAGTGCTATTGGCCTCTTCGGGCCTTCCTGGGGGCCCTCTTGGAGGCCTCTTGGGCCGTCTTGGAGACCTCTTGGGGGCCTCTAGGGCCATCTTGGGCCATCTTGGAGCCATTTCGGGCAATCTTGGCGGTCTCCTGGCCCGTCTGACGCCCTCGGGCGCCGTCTCGGGGGCCACCCTGCGCCAACTTGGGGCCTTCTTGGGTTGCTCCAGGGCCGTCCTGAGGCCATCTTGGGGGTCTTGGAGGCCTCTTGGGCTGTCTTGGGGCTCCTTGGGGCCCTCTTGGGGGCTTCTTGGGTTGTTCTGGGGGCACCTTGGAGGCCACTTGGGCGATATTGGGGCGAACTTTGGGTACTCTTGGGCCGCCTCGGGCCGTCGGAAGGCCGAAACGAAGCAAATGCCCAACTCCTTTGAACACCGAAGGAGCATCAATGATCTTGGCCTCTTTGGGCCTTCCTGGAGGCCCTCTTGGAGGCCTCTTGAGCCGTCTTGGGGACCTCTTGGGGGCCTCTAGGGCCGTCTTGGGCCATCTTGGAGCCATCTTGGGCCGTCTTGATGGTCTCCTGGCCCGTCTGACGCCCTCGGACGCCGTCTGAGGGGCCTCTGTGGGCCGACTTGGGACCCTCTTGGGTTGCTCCAGGGCCGTCCTGAGGCCATCTTGGGGTTCTTGGAGGCCTCTTGGGCTGTCTTGGGGCCCTCTCTTGGGGCCGTTTTGGGGGCCTATTGGGCCGTACTGGGGGCATCTTCGGAGACCTCTGGGGCGATCTTGGGGCGAACTTCGGGGACTCTTGGGCCGTCTCGGACCGTCGGAAGGCCGAACAGAAGCAAATGCCAAAATACTTCAAACACCTAAGGCAAATCAATGATTTTGGCCTCTTCGGGCCTTTCTGGGGGCCCTCTTGGAGGCCTCTTGGGCTGTCTTGGAGACCTCTCGGCGGCCTCTAGGGCCGTCTTGGGCCATCTTGGAGCAATTTCGGGCCGACCTGGAGACTTCTTAGGCGGACTTGGAGGCCTCTTGGACCCCCTTGGGCCGTCTTGGAGGCTATAACTGATCATCTCGGGCGAATTTCGAGGGCATCAGAAGCCATCTTGGGACGGGAAAGGCATTGACATATACACATGCCGTCCTTTCATGGTGGCCGGGCGAGAGGCCGACGCCCTAGGGGGAGTCCGCCGCCTCTCTGTGCTTGTCACACGTGCTAGATCCTACTTATTCTGGGTTCTTTTGGACAAAACCAACACCAACGACCGCAGGATATAGCACGCCAGGCACCCCTGTGCCAAGCACAGGGGGCTGCGGATCTAAATGGCCTTCGGCCCATCCCGCCACCGTGCTTGGTTTATGGGTATGAAGCCTACTGAATGTTCGTTCGGATCTCGTGGGATGCCTCTCGGGGGCCTCTTGGAGGCAGTTTTGAGGCTTCTTGGGGGCAGTTTGGGGGCCTCTTGGGGGCCTCGTAGAGGCCTCTTGGATGCGTCTTGGGGCCTCTTGGGTGCCTGTTGGGGCCTCCTTGGGCCTCTTGGGGCGGAAGGCTTTGATCTTCGGTTCGTGTTCTCTCTCTCTCTCTCTTGGGCCCCTTTTGGGGCCGTCTTGGGGCCTTCTTGGTCCGTCTTCGGCGCCTCTTAGGTCGTCTTGGGGCCCTCAAAGGCCGTCTTGGGGCCCTCAAAGAGGCCTCTTGTGCAAATTTGGTGTGGTCTTTGGGGCCTCTTTGGCCGTCTTGGGGCGTTGGAAAGCCGAGAAAGCCGAACAGACGTGAACGCCAACATCCTTCAAACACCTAATCAGAATCATTGATTTTTGCCTCCTGGGGCGTCTTCGAGGCCTCTAGGGCCATCTTGAGGCCACTGTGGGCGTCTTCGAGCGAGCGTTCGGCGACTCGGGGCCCTCTTGGACCGTCTTGGGGGCCTCCTGGGCCGTCATGGAAGCCTTGGAGAGCCCCATGGAGGCGCCATGGCCTCCCAGGGACTCCCTGGGAGTGTGGGTGGTGCAGTTGGCGGTGTGCGGGCCGGAAGGAGGGGGGTCCTTTCTTTCGAAGTCTACAGAAACCCCGCCAGACAGCCCTTCGCATTCTTCCACGCCTCAACGTACCACAGGCACGGTGCCAGATTTCCCCGGGAGGCGATCTGCTTGGTTGTTCGATGCCCCCCTGGCTTTTGAGACAATTTCGGGTCGCTTGTTGTTAACGATACGCTGTGGATTTGCTCGGGTATGGCGGATGGAAGGAAGGACGTTTTCCATGTGTTTTCTGTCTACGTTCCATCACCCAGCTCATTCCATCCTCGAGTCCAGCCCGCGCCTTCCTCGCCGCTCGTGGGGCAGCTGACGCCGTGCAAGAGCCTCATTGCCAGTGCCGTGTGTGTGTGTGTGTGTGGGTGTAAGCGTAGTGCTGCGCGCGGGCACGCCCGCATCCGCCCAGCACGGGCTTCCGAGCTTCCACTTCGACGAGATGACGAGCATCCACGAGGACTGGCTCGAGGCCGCCGCCCCAAGCACGCGGGAGGAGATACGATCCGATCGTTTCGATATCGCTTCTGGCCCGCTCGATCTGATCCGGTTCCGATATTTAGACGACCCGATCTGGTCCGATACCCGCGTGGCGCTGCTGTGCATCCTGGCGCGGCCGACCCGATTAGATTTCGACTCATGCAGAGGCGCTTTGGGCGCCCGCGCGGAGCGGCATCGGCGCTCGCCTCGCCTCGCCTCGGGTCGGACGAAAGGGGGGCATCGGGGAAGAGAGGATTGCGACGTTTGCTGCATGCAGCTGTCGTCGGGCCCGCTGCAGTGCGCTTTCCTCGATACGCTGACGCCTCTGGCGCCGGGAGGCGCCAGAAACACCAGCTGCATGCAGCTGATTCGCCAAACCCCTTCTGCTGTCCCCCTCTTTCGTCCGCCCCGAGTGATGCAACCCGGTCCGACGCGCGTTCCGATCCGTGGGTCGCGGCCGGGCCCGCTCGGCTCGCCTGCACCCGCCCGGCCCAGGATCCCGCACCCGCCTTGGCCTTGTTCCCGCCCCCGCCCGGCCTCGCGACGGCGACGAGAGCAACGACGACGACGACGACGAGCGACGACGGCCGACGACGGCGAGGGCGACACGACGACGATGACGGTGAGTGCGACGGGCGACGACGGGCGACGAGCGCGACGGCGACGACGACGACGAGAGCGGCGAGCGAAGAGAAGCGACGAGCGTGCCCGCGCGCCCGCGCGCCCGCGCCACGAGGCCTGCCGTGCCAGGGGGGACCCGAGCACCCAGGTCTGAAGAGGGCAGCGCCCCGCCCCCGTTGCGGGCTCTTGGCAGGACGCGGCCCGCGGCCTCGCTCCCTCGCCATGATCAGAGAAGCATGAGGTCATGGTGATGATGCTGTGTCCCAGATGTCCTGGTCTTTCCCAAGTGCACACATATACACATTTTCATGCACACATGTTTGTTTGGCTCGATAGATATACACATACGCACGTACCTATATACTCACATACGTATGGGCATCCTTACTACCTGCCTGCATACATGCATGCATGAGTTCATGCATGCATGCGTACATACATGCATACATACATGCTTTAATTCATTGCTTCGTACGTGCATGCGTACATTCACATGCGTACATGCAGACACACGCACACACATATACACATACATACACATACATACATACATACACATACATACACATACACATACATACATACATACATACAGACATACACACGTGCATGCATGCATACATACACACGCATCCATACACACATACATACACACATGCACACATACATGCATACATAGATACATACATGCATGCATGCATGCGTACATTTACGTATACATACATACATTCACACGCACACATACATGCACATACATACACACGTACATACATACATACATACGTACATCATACATACATACGTACATACATACATACAACCGCACATACATGCATGCATACATACATGCATTCATATACACATACTTACATGCATGCATACACACATACATACGCACATACATACGTACGTACATACAAACATACATACATACATAGAAACACACATACATACAAACATACATACACACATAAACACACATATACATACATACATGCATGCATGCATGTATACATACAAACATATGCACGCCACGGTACACACAAACGTACATGCACACGTCTATACATACACGCATACATACATGCATGCATGCTGGGGTATTATTTCGCATCCTGTGTCTTCCATAGCCCTTGCGGCAAAAGCTGGTGCGCGCGCGCCCCCAGAGCGCACGCAGCCGTGCATCCTCCTGGCGGGCCTAGGCGTGGCGTGCGCTGTCTTCTCGCACCTGCTCGGGACCTGGATTTCGAACCTCTGGGGCGCTGGGGCTAGCTTGCCCAGACTGCGCGCCGGTGGTCGAGTGCTCGGCCTGTCGGGCGTGTGCCCCAGCGGTCACGTGCCCGCCGAGCGCGGCGTGCCCCGCGTGCCCGGCGCTGCCCGCCGACATCTTTTTGCCATTGCACTTGCCCAGACGGGTCCAGTTGGCAGATCCGTCGCCACGGCTGGGCTGGGTATATTGCCGGTGCCCACCGCCGACGTGCGTCGGGTTCCCGGCGTTCGCCTCGGGCGCGGTCAGCGGCGCGAGCATCGTGCTGTTGGCGTGGGGCAGGTGCTGGTCGCGGCGCTAGCAGCTCTCAAGCTCTTCGAGTTCGGCGCCTGGCGGCGGGGTCGCGGCGCCCGAGGCGCCAGTGCGGTTCGGGCCATTGCGTTCGACGCCGGCGTCGAGCGAGTCTGGCAGCCTGGCGTCGGCGGAGCTGCCGCCTGTTGTGGCCGAGCGGAGGCCTCGACGGGCCAGGACGTGATTGTAGATGGGTTCGGCGTTGGACATCCCGAAGCTGCATGTCGCATTGCTGTTTCGAGACGACCCGAACTGCAAGTACCATTGGCGGGTGCTGGTGGTCAGTATCCGCGGACGCCCGATGGGCAGGGGCCAGGGCAGATCTGCGCACGCAGATCATCAACTTCGGGGAGCTCCGCGTGATCCCCTTGAAGCGGGGTCAGCCCGTGCTGGCGAGGGCGCGTGCGAGCTACTGCGGCCCCGGCGCGCTCGCCGACCAGCAGCTGGCAGAGATTGGGAGGGGGTGCGGCGCGCTGGCCATGATCCACGGCGCCGTCGTCGGAGGGCCAAGGGCCGCAGCGTCGGCAGCGGAGTCGAGGTTCGCCGACGCCGCCTTTATCGAGTTCGGAGAGGTGGTCGACGGGGCCGCCATCGCAAACCCGAGAACTTTCGTGTCGAGGGACGCCACCGCGCAAGTGCGGGTCGAGGAGGATGGAGAGACCATCTGGAGAGAGGAAAAGAGGACGGGGCCCGGGCGAGACCCCAGGATCCCGCCGATCGAGCGCGACTCGACCCGTGGCGGTTATTGCGGGCTGCTCTCGGTGATGGGCGAGGTCTTTGATCGACCCCAAGAAGCTGGAGTTGGACTGGGCGAGGTGCCTTCGGCGGTGAAGGAGCTGCTTCGCGCCGTGAGAGCGCCTAGAAGGGAGCTGGGTGGGTTCCGCGACTCTTGAGCCCGCAGCGGCGGCATCGGCGCGGAGAGCCAGATCAGCTACAATCACCGCGACCTGCTCGCCGCGCTTCTCCACCGGTGCAACTTCGACCAGTTGAATTTGGCGGCCGCGGAGTAGCGCGCGCATGCGTAGCGCGCATGCGCGTGCGCTGAAGCGGCAGCGCTTGTTCGCCGAGGAGGGGGAGAAGTGCGCGGCCAAGGAGAAGGACAGGGACAACATCTAGTGGTCGCCGCTCCATGTTGGCTGGGGCTCGGGCTGGGCATGACGCCGGGCCCTGCGATGTGGGGGTGGGCGACGCGGTGCCGACCTTGTCGTCGCCGTTCCTGCCCGTGATCGCCTTCGAGCGAGGGCGCGAAGATCGGCTCGCCAACCGGGGGGCCGCCCGCTGGTGGGCCAGGCGGGAGCGCTCGGAGATGCTGGTGTCCGACGCCGTCATCTCTCTCAACGCTCTCGCCAATTCGAGGGCAGGCCAGAGGGCTGCAGCTCGCGTCGCCCCGCCGCGGTCCCGAGCGGGAGTTGTCGGACTGTCAACGCTCCGCGCTCGTTGGGGTGGCCGAGCTCTTCGACCCGCCGAGTCTGGGCTCTTTCCGCGAAGGAGGTGCTCTTCCTGAATTGGTTCGGTTTTCGCCCATCTACGAGGTGGGGGGCGCCTTGGCCGTCGCGAGGCGCGCCCCGTTTAAGTTCGAGGCGTTTGAAGGCCGCGTTCCGCCGATTGACGCCGGGCAGCTCGTCGGTGATTTTGCGCGGGACTTGCTCGACCACCCCCTCTCCCAGATCGCGCTCGATGCCGCCGCCCGCGCCGCCGTCGCCGAGCCGGCCCGGCAGTGCTAGGACCCGGCGCCTCCGGGAGGGGCGCTGGGGACATTTGCATCTCGGGCGCGAGAGTTTTCTCGAGGGCGGGTTCTACCGGTTCGGGCTGCCCTCGACGGCGTCCTGGTTTTGCATGGGCGAGGTCTACGCCGCGGAGGAGCTCGACATCTCCGTCGTCTTCGCCAGGGGCGCTGGCGAGACAGAGGCCGTCGAGCCCGACCGGCTCTGGGCCTGCCTTGGCGGACGTGCGACGGGGCGGTCGCGGGCGCCCCCCCTCTGCCGCGGCGGGCTGGAGGTGGCGGGGCGCCGTGCCATGCGTCGTGTGGGATGTGGTCTCGGACTTTTGGCTGACTGGCGGGCGAGCCCTGCTTTTGGGAACAGGCTCGCGGTGGTCGCGCCGCGCGGGAACGTGGTCGGGGCCTCGCCGGGAGTCGCCGCTACGCTGCGCGCGGCGCTCGCCGAGGAGCTGCGCCCCATGGCCCGGCGGCCCGTCGCGCCGCGGTCGCCGCGCGTGTGGCGGCCGCGGCTTGGCCATCGCGAGCTCGCGATCACTGGGGGTGCGACCCCCGCGTGAATCAGGCGGGTCGTCGGGCGCATCGTCGACCAGTTCTCGCCGCGGAGGGGGCCCCGCGCGCCGTTGCAGCACCGGTGACCTCTCATCGGCGACGGGCGCGGGGGGCGGCGAGACTTCGACAGCAACGAGCTCGCCGACATCAGGGCCATCAGGACCTGGATCGTTCCCTGGGGGGTCGCGTCCATTGTGGCCACTCGAGTTCGCGCGCCAACGCCGCTGGCGAGCTCCTGGTCAGAGTTTCCAGGGCCAGGCTGCGGAGCTTCGCTGCTAGGCGCCTGGCCCATAGCCAGGGCCTGCCGGCGGGGGCGACCAGCCTGCGCGGGATGTCGATCCTGCCGCGGATGCGCCCAACGGCTTGGGCGCCGCCGCTCGTCGATGGCGACTCGCCGAGGAGGGCGGCGACGTCGGCCCCGCGGCCTCGGGGCCGCGCCAGAACGGGGCGGTCGCGGCTTCGGGCGGGCCCGCCCGCCGCTTCGGGCGCCGCGAGCTGGGGCGGCAAGGCGGGGGTTCCTCGAGCTCTTCGCTGTGTGCTGCTGACTCACCGTGGGCGCGTTGGGCGCCGGGCTGCGGTGCGTTGCCCCCGTCGACGCCGAGAACAGGGGGCGCTTCGATGTCGCCGAGGGTTCGGTGGCCAGCGAGATCGCGCAGTGGATCCTCGCCGGCTGGATCTGGGCGGTTGCGCTCGGCGCTCCGCGCGCGCGGTGGAGCGCTGCCCGACGGACTGGCGGGGGGTCCGACTCGCCGCGCTAGCCGCGGGCTTCGCCTGCGCGGGCTCCACCGGGCACGCGGCGCGGGCTTGCCTGGGCGCGGGCGCGCAGTTCTTCGGCGAGAACCCGCGGTCGAGCCGACTCTGGGCCTGGCCGCCGCTGGAGCAGCTGCTTACGCGTGCTGGCGCTGTGCGCGTGGCGGTGGACATTTTGCGCCTGCGGTGCAGCCTGGGAGAAGGTGCGTCTCTCGTCGGCAACCTGCGGGGGCTCGAGCGCATTGAAGCCGCCTGCCCTGGACGTGCTCGGCGCGTGGTCTTGCGAGGCTCGGCCCACCTCCCAGGCGCAGCGACGCCCCCGCGCTGGCGGTGGAGGACCTCCTTCGCGGCGCGTGCTCTCTTCGTCTTTGCCGCCGTCTGGCAGGGGTGCCGCGGGATGCCGCCCCGCCAGCGGCCTGGCCGAAGGAAGGGGGGCCCCGCCTCGAGCAGTGGCGGGGGCGGCAGCCGGCTGTCTCTTTCGGCCTGAGGGCCAGGCAGTTCGTCCGCGCGGGCGCCCCCGTTGTGGCGGTTCGTAGGAGTCTTCGCCAACTGCGACCTCTACTTCGCCGGGCTCTTT